AGAAATAAACATATTAACATTGGCATCGCAATATATTTATGAAAATGTAATGTATGTACATAAAAACATAAATAGCTTTAATAAGAATAAGGATGTTCATACCTTAAACACTAGGAACAAACATAAGCTTGTAATGCCACTTACAAGACTCCACAGAATTAGTAATTCATTTATGGGGCAATGTATACGCTTTTACAACAGAATCCCAGAACATGTTCAAAGTTTGTCAATAAACAAGTTTAAAAGTTTTATTAAAGAAAAACTGTACAAAAAGGGTTATTATAATATCAAGGAATACATGAATGAAAATAACCCCTGGGAATAAGGTGATCGCCACCATGCTGGTTCTATGAAAATTCATTTAAAATTGTATAAACAAAATTATTGTTAAGTGAAATTATGTTTAAAAAAAAGTCCCGCTGGGTTTCTTGCTGGTTCTTCCCAGGACAGAGGTATTTTCCGAACCAGTGGTAAATAAAATAATGACTTTCAATAAGTATTATGTAATAATCCATATTGAATAAAAATCATTCTATTCTATTCTATTCTATTCTGCTTAGGTTCTAAAGCGATTCTGCCTTAAGGAGTATATCGTTGGCAAATCTAAGGTGAGTGATGTACTCGCCATTGATGTTAATACCGTATCCTTTCCAGTCCAGTAGCTTGAAAACGTCTTCCAATACAGCGGTGAAGTTTCGGAGAATCGAAGATATAACATCACCATGTCTTACACCTTTCTGCAGTTGGATAGGTTTCATACTCGGGTTCCGTACTCGGATAACCATTGTAGCCCTACTGTACAAACACAAGCACTTCAATATACCGACAGTCAATTTGGCACCGCTGAAGGGACTGTAGCACCGCCCAAATTTCGACAGAATCAAAGGCTTTCTCATAGTCCACATACGCTAGGCAAAGTAGCAGATTGTACTCTTCAGTCTTCTGAGCAATTTGCCGAAGGGTATGTGTGTGGTCTATAGAAGAACAAGACCAACGCACTTCTGCTCTACGCCTCCGGAGTAGTCCCACCATGGAGGACGGAATGAAGGACTTCAAGTATCGGTTTTTCACCCGCTTTCAGAAGTTCCGCTGTAATTCCACCCTCGCCCGGGCACTTGCAGTTTTTAAGGTGCTAGAGAGCCATTCTAAACTCGCTCAGACTGAGGTCCGGGATATTATCGGAATAGTGTCGGATAAGACTTGCTCTTTGATCGTTACTCACACTTGCGTGTGGCTCCAACGATGACGTATACAGTTGCCCATAGAACCTCTCAATCTCACTCAAATTCTCAGGTGTCCCGGAAACGATGCCGCCACACTCTGTCTTCAGCAATGACAGTTGGCTCTTTCTGGCAGACAGATCTCTGGCAAAGACTTTGGAGCCCTGGTTCCGCTCGATCGTTTCTTCAATACGAGCTGTATTGAAGTTGCGTAAGTCCCGCCGCATTCATTTGGAGATCTGTCTGTTCAGATACCTGTATGCTGTTAAATCTGTTTAAGACTTCAGCTTCATTTCCCGTCTAACAGCTATGAAATTAAGTGTGATCGGAGAGTTTTTGTGTTCTGCGGCGGGTCTTGCAGAACTTAGCTCCGACCACATGGACGTTTCCACGAACGTGTCATTCATATCGTCCACTGCATTGCAATCTTCTAGGCACTGAAAACGGTTTTGTAACTCGAGTTGAAAGGTTTGGGGATTTTGTATTAGAGCACGAGGGGGACGGGGCATTGACTTCATTAGACGAGATCGCTCCAACTTAACGTTTAGGTTCAGCGTGCCTCTAACAATTCGGTGATCGCTACCAGTTTTCACTCTCACTATCACTGAGCCATCACTGAACGCGTCTAGTCGTCATAATGAAGTCAATCTCATTTTTTGTCGAACCGTCGGGGCTCGACTAGGTCCACTTCCTGTGGGGCCGCTTCTGGAAGAAAGAGTTCATCATAAATAGTCCCTCGAGAGTTGGTGCGTAAACCTGTATGACCTTCAACGAATACCGTTTGTGATTCTGAGTATAAGGTATGCAACCCTCGTCGACACACTCACAATCTTTACAACGTTGTTAACGAGAGACTTGTGGATGATAAATCCGACACCTCCTTGGGACAGATGGTCAGAACAAGTTGCCGGATTCGAGGATTACCGTGTCCTCTCCCTCTCTTCTGACCTCAGATAATCCAATAACATCCCCGCGCAACTTGTCGATCTCTTCTTCCAGCTCCAGGATCTTCTCGTCAGTCCTCAGGGTGCGTACGTTGTACGTTTCCAGGTCGCGATGTCTTAGGTGGCAACCGAACTTCCACCGGAGATTGTTAGCACCCCCTGTCCCGCCGTTACCGTGGTCGCCACCGTAGTCAGGAATAGCGGGGCCGCCGGAAACTGGGGGCCGTCTCTTCGTAACTTTCGTCATAGGGGGATGTTTGCCATAGATGCCACGCTTGGTGAGCGGGTTGGCAACCGCAGTTTTTTTATTGTATAATTGTTGTCATCAGGAAAACTCTGCCGCACATCTGCCTGTTTCCCACTGTCGCCTCTTAGTGGGTGTCGCCACGGGAAGATACGGGGTAGTGGATATTCTCAGCCGGCACTACTGGATCACTAAACAATGAGTACTAATTTTGAATGAATACTAATTTTCGTTAGTTTGAATAAAAACTGTATACATTTAGATTGTACGATATTTTCATTTCAAAATCTCCCTGACATACACTGAAGTAATATGTACTTACGTACTAGAACAGCTATTTCAAACAAAAAATGTGCTCTACCATGCTCTACTCGTGTCTTCGCGCATGCGCAGGGAAGAGTCAGTGTGGCGCATGCGCGATTGGTTTTTATCACAGATTATACGTAGGTGATCAGTATGTTATAATAGATTGTATTGATAATATTATGTAAATTATAACAAGTACAATTTTTAAAATTTGTCATTTATTTTGCATATAATATGTGTTAATTTAATATAATATCACATAATATTATATCACAATTACATTTTAATTATATTTTTTTTTTGAAAATTTTAAATAATTGACTACGTAAAATATAAAAAATGTGTTTAACAAAACTTTATAACATATACATTACAACAAATATATATGACAAATATATTTATTTAGTTTAGAATAAAAGTCGAATTTATTACACTTTTCCCCGTTTTCATAGCTTGGACGTGGAAACCTAAAAATAAAATAAAGGAATAATCGGCAAATTTAAATATTAGAAATTTGCCTAATTATGAATACTTCTAAATTATTTAAAGAAAAAAATATGCATAATATAATCGTCCTATACAAAATCGAATCTATACCATTGAGATATAATGTACTACGTACACGTAGTACATTATAGTACATTATACGTAGTACATTATATCTCAATGATCTATACAGAAACGACGCACCTGAACAAATAAATTTCATAATCTATATTCCATGACTCAAGATGGCGTCTTAGGAATAATTTGTGTGATTATTAATCTATTATACTTTTTTTTAATAATAAAGTATCTTACTCACCGATGAAAATGTATTCCTTGGTATTTGTTAATATTTCTTTAATTATTTGTGCAATATCTAATTTTTTTTTTATATAATCAACACAGCTCGTATAAACTCACTAGCGCCTAGCAAGTGATAGTGTTCCTTAAACATCGATAGACTATCGATTAATCGATAGTGTTTGCACTATCGATTCTATCGATAGTCTGATTAAACTATCGATTGCCATCCTTATCGTAATTTTTGTCTATAGTAGATTTCTCCCTTTAGTCTAAGGTCAGAGAAATCCCTGTAAATAATGGGTGTGAATAGCTCATTAATATGTGTGACGCTGACGTAAGCTTGTCGCTATTTGTGTGAGTGCCAGAACGGGCGGTTAATCTTGCATTTTATAGATTACTGATTTGTTTTGTATTTGACTTCATAATGAATCGAAAATTCATCATAAAAATTAATCATTAATGTGGAGTTATTTCTAGATAGTGGACAGTAATATTCCGTTTGTAAAGTGTAACTTTTATAATTAGGAATATAAGCATTTAGGAAATATGACCAATCTAAGAGATCACTTGAAAAGAAAGCATGTCGATAAAATAGATAGGTTAGAATCGAAAGAGGGATCATCGTCTGAACATCAAGTTCAAGATGAAGTGCAACCATAAAAATCTAGAAGTTCTTTTAAGAATTATTTTAATAGAAATCATTTGTAGAAGACAAACGCTATTGTGACTTTCCTTCACAGTTCTACATTAGCCAGTGACAAATTGCGTATTTCTCAAAGACGAGAAAACAAAAAAGTACAATTACTTATTATTATTTTTATTTGTGTTACCTGCTCAAAGACAATCGATAGTCTATGTTCGATCGATGTTTAATGAACACTAGCAAGTGACTAAGTGCGGCGACATCGCCGCAATTGAATGGTACGGTGTAATTAAATGCAGTGTCGCCTATAGTACGTAGTACATAATAGCTCAATGCTGACATACGACTTTTTTATAGTTGGCGTACGATCTCGCATTTTTTCCATCTGGCAAGTAGATGTATTAATCAGTTCTAGTGTTCTGATTCGGTAGTCTCCTCCCTAGTTCAAATCATGTTTTACCTAATAAGGGCATTCACTTTTTCTGCAACTAGGGTGGCGCCACTTAAAAATGAGGTTCGATCGTAGTGAGAGAATAAACTAGGTTCGAGACACAGAGTAGGTACATGCTTCGAGCGTAGAAAAATGAGAAAAATGCTCGGACATGAGGTTGTAATATTTGACAGATTTCATAGCGGTGAAGTAAATTTGTTCGAATAGTTTGAAGGTTAATATTTCTTTCTGTAGATACTGTTAGTAATATTTTATATAAAATAAAGAAACCAAACCACAGATATTCATAAAAGAAAAATTAAAGTATTAATAATGTGCAAAAAAAATTAAAGAGCAAACCACTGATGCAGTTTTGTGTATTAATACTTTAGAAACTGATAAACTTCTATATTTTTTTTTTCTTAGTTTGGCAACTTCCAATGTATTCTGCCAGCGTCAAGTATTTCATGAGAGTCACACAGTGTATTTACTAGTTTCCGTTTAACTTTATGTTACGAACTTACTTACCTATGTAGTTATTTTCGAATGAATTAACATTATAATATTTTTACAAAATTATTGCTAATATAATAATATGGATATAGGTAAGTGACAAAGGTACTATAGTTTAATGTTATTAATGGATATGAAATCTAATAAAGTTTGAACAAAAGGAGTGAAAACTAAATTTAACAAAGACTTAAGATTTACAGGACGAGGAATGTTATTAGGAAGATAATCGTATAATGAAACGGAGAGGTTAGGGCAGTTAAAAAATTTATGATCGATCGTACCTTCGTCTAATCCACACTCACAAATTGAGCTATCTTTAATCCTAAGTTTTGCTAAAAATACAGGTGTACAAGTGTGTCCCAATCTAATTCTACATATGACAGATGTGCTATGTTTGGAACCATTTCTAAATTTAAAAAACCATGGTTTGGAGGGGATGTCAGGTTGGAGTTCTGCATAATATTTACCGATAGACTTCTGAGTTTTTTTCCAAAGAGAGTTCCAATCTGCCATCTGATGGATTTTCGCAAGAGAAATAAGGTCATGAGTATATGTTATATGATGCATGAGGGTACCAGAAGTAGATGCTTGCTTTGCTAAGGAATCAACAAATTCGTTGTCACGTATGCCACTATGACTTGGCAGCCAAGCAAGTTTCAAGTTAAGACCTTGACAAAAACACCTATACAGTGCACCTTTTATTTCAAAAATAATTGGGAATTTCGATTTACTTCGAAACGGGTTAGATGAAATGCTTTGTAACAGGGATTGAATACCGGTACCAATTTCGGTTCTGGTTCTTCATTTAGGTTCTTATAAGGGTTCCTCTTTTCGGTCCGGTTCCGGTTCCGGTATCGGTTCCGGTTTAGGTTCCGATGTACCGGTTCTAAATACCGGTTCCGAGAACCTTTAATCAAATCTCTCCAAATACGTAGGTTGGTATAAAAAATTCCATAAAAGCTATTTCAAAATATCCGTTCCGTTGAAGATCGACTATTTTTGTTTTTGTCATAGAATAGATTAATTTTTTGGGAAAAATTATTTCTGTCATGGAAAATTCTTGTTGTAAAAACTTACATTGTAGTATAACATCGAATCAAGCTGCATATATAAGTACCATAAAAAATTATTAATAATTAACTGTTTTCTTTTAATTAAATTATTTTTAGTAAAAAACAAATAAAATAACTATACACATTTTAATATTTGTGGATAGTTACTAAAAAAATACGTTACAAACTTGATTAAAACGACTTATTCACATAGATTTTATTTTCTGGTTTTTGTTAGTTTATTTGATATATTACGGTGTTTCAGACTCGGGTCATTTATGTAACAATGAAAAACTATACAACTAAAAACTTTGAGAAATTGGAAAAAAAGATCGAGGAAAAGCGAAGCCTTATTCGGCCGAATTTTTTTAATAATTGTAGAAACAATTAGGACAGCATGGATTAGAAAAATTTGAGACATAAGTGATAATTCAATCATCTATAAAAAATTATAAGCGCTTATATTAACTACCTGTTTTCCAAGAAGTGTTCTAAATTCGAAATAAACGTAATTTAATGCAAAATATCTGAGCTATTAAAATTTGAACACACAAAAATTTGATATTTGTGAGGAAAAATGGTTTTATTTTAATACAGATAGCATATAATTAATTATTAAATATAATTTAATACAGACGACATTGAAGAAGAGATAGAGAGAGAATGACATTGTCGCATAAGTTCATACTCATGATAAAAAAATCTGTGTAAAAAAAGACAAAATTCCGTAGATCTACGGAAAAATCCGTGGAGTTGGCAACGCTGCGTTGATATGCAACAGAAGATCCGCAAATACAAAAGTGATGTTTATTTACAAACTCCCCTCTCCTCCGCCCGACCGCACCTCAAAAAAGTTTTCAATCGCTTTCGCTTTGCTTAGGAACCGGTAAAATGAAGGTTCTTAAAGGTTCTAATTTAGGTTCTGGTTCCTGTTCCGGTATATGTACCGAAACCCTTAAATACCGGCTCTATACCGGTATTTTGGAACCGTTTTCAATCCCTGCTTTGTAATGAACTATATGAGTCAGTAAAAACAATACATTTGTTAATTTTATGTGCTTCTATAAATAAAATTGCTTCTAAAATAGCAACCGCTTCACCAGTGAAAATTGAAGTAACATTTGAATTTTTAAAATTTAATATAATTTTATATTTTGGTATCCAGACAGCTGAACCTACATAACTATTCTCGGAGAGTTTGGATGCATCAGTAAAAAGGGTCAACCAGCCTTCCCATTTTTCACGTAATATACTTAGAAATTTTTCTTGGGCTACAGGGGAATTTTTAGTCACACCAAAATCTAATATAACTGGAGGGTGATAACATAAAGCTTCAAATGGATGTACGAATAGAGGATTAAACATACTTTGAAATATGGGAAATTTGAAGGTAAGTATCTTTTGGTAGCTTTTAAGAATACATGGAACGTCTTTATGAGTCCAGTAGTTGTTATTCTTCAAACTAGAGTTTAAAGAATGCAGTTTAGAAAGCAGTGGGTGTGAAGATATCTGAAATATTCGATATATAAAGCGATCGGCAAGATACTGTCTACGTAGGTAAAGAGGAGGTTCGCCACATTCAACTTGTAGAGCATTTGATGGAGATGATTTCATAGCCCCTAAAATAATTCTTAAGCACTTGAGTTGGATTTTATCTAAAAGGTTAAGAGCTTGTTTATTACAAGGTTCCAAAAGAAATGTACCGTAGTCAAAATGACTACGGATTAGAGCGTTATATAAAAGTTTTAAACAATATGGATGAGATCCCCACCAAACACCTGTCAGTGAACGAAGGATATTTACATTCTTTTCGCATTTTTGGGCAATGAACGTTAAATGAGGAATACCTGTCATCTTAGAATCCAGAAAAACACCTAGAAATTTAACATTATCACATGTCGGAATTATTTGATTTTGTACTGAGATTGAAATATTGGGACAAAATCTTTTTCTAGACAATATTACTACTCTACTCTTTGTAGGTGATAAGGAGAGACCGTTATTAGTAAGCCAATTATTTAAGTAGAACAATGCAGAGTTAAGACGATAACTCAATTCTGTAAAGTTCTTAGAAGAGTAATAAAGAGTTAGATCGTCAGCATATTGTAAGACTTTACAAAAGGAGTTAACAGAATGTTCGAGATTATGGGTGTATATGTTAAATAAAATAGGACTTAAAACAGAACCTTGTGGGAGGCCTCGCCATATCTGTCTAGGAGGGAGCAGTTTTCCTTGAACTCTTATACATATTGACCTAACTGAAAGTAAATTAAAAATAATGCGAGTAATTCTATGGGGAATATCCAAAAGAAACATCTTTTCTTTGAGTAAAGGGAGGACAACGTTATCATAGGCTGATGATACATCTAGAAAAACAGCACCAACCGATTCTTCTCTGGAAAAAGCCGAACGTATATCAGAGGTAAAAACAGACAAGCTATCAAGCGTGCTCAGTCCCTTTCGAAATCCAAACTGTGTTTTGGCCAAGAGACCTTTATTTTCAACAAACCATTCTAGACGGTTTTTAATTAAATGCTCCATTATTTTGCACAAAGTTGATGATAGTGCTATAGGGCGGTAACTATTACCATCACTAGGATTTTTGTCTGGTTTTAAGATGGGGATAATAATTTGCATTTTCCAATCATTAGGGACTATTCCCGTAATAAATATGTCATTGATTAAGTCTAGAAAAATTTGCTTAGATTTTGATCCTGCGTTAGAAATAAATGAGTATGGAATTCCGTCTATACCTGGTGACGAATCTTTAAGGTGTTGAACAACCAATTCAAATTCTTCATTGGAGAAAAGTTCATTAAAACGTGAATTATTAATGTTTACTCCAGGTTGGGTTATCAATGGTTCACAATAACATAATTCCTCAAAGGAGGGAACCCAAGGAGGAGCAAGCTTATCGGCAAATAAATTGTACCAAATAGAGGAATCACATTGCGGTGAATAATTATCAACGTTATATGATCCGCGGAATTTCTTTATATTCTATTTTCCATAATATAGAAGCAGGAGAGCGGGGTGAAAGATTTTCACAAAACCTAAGCCAACCCGTCTTTTTTTTATGTGCTAACAGTTTTAATGTATGGGCAGCTATTTTTTTATAATTTAAAAAGTTTTCATTAGACATATTGGAGGAGTATAGACGTTCAGCTTGTTTTCGTTTTTTAACACTGAGTGTGCATTCCTCATCCCACCATGGGGGAGAACAAATTTTGGTAGGAGGCGAAATTTTTCGTGTGAAACATGAATCTGCGGTGAGTAAAAGATACTTAACAAAGTTTTTGTAGTTTGTCTCTATATCATTAGAGTCACTGTTATAAAATTTAGAGAGTACCGAATCTGATAACGATGAGAATTTAGCCCAGTCCGCTCTTTTTATATTATATTTTAACAGCGGCGAAAAAACTCTGATTGGTATTGAGCAGTTGGCTAATGAAAGTAATATTGGGTAATGATCACTACCATAAGAGTGAGATAAAACTTTCCAGTTAATACGTGATGTAAGATTTGGGGTACATAAAGTTAGATCAACAACACTTTTAGGATATTGAGATGGATATACTCTCCTTGTTGGTGATCCATCATTTAAAATGCAAATATTAAATTCATCAAACAATTCCATTAAGAGATAGCCAAAAGTATCATTTCTGCATGAGCCCCATGAGACATGGTGAGCATTAAAATCACCTAGTAATATAAAAGGAGGAGTAATAGATGAAATTATTAAGTTTAATTCAGTGATCAGTGATGGATGTGGGTGAGGAATATAGAAAGACAGGTATGTGATATCATTACATTTGCAAGCAACAACGTTTAATTCCTCACTATGTTGAGGAAGTGAAACCTTGATAAATGAATGTAATCTATTAATTAGGATTACAGCACCGGCGTAACCATCTTTCCTGTCTTCGCGAAGGCAGGCAAAACCAGGAATACGGAAGTGAGATTTCGGGTGAAGCCAAACTTCTGATAATGCTACAAGAAACGGGTTGTATTTGTTGATAAGATAGATTAAATCGCCTTTTTTATGCTTAATACTGCGACAGTTCCATTGAAGAATCGTAGCCATGCTTATTTATATTATTTAAGAGCATCGATAGTTTCTCAAGAGACTGGGTTAAATTTGGAGGTAAACAGTGGTCGTCAAATTTCGAAATGATACACATAAGTGTGGATATCAGTAAGTCTATTAAATTTTCATTTGGAGAAGTATGGTTTTGCTCATTATCTTTAGGGTAAGCATTTCCATTAGGAAGAGAACTTCTTGGGGTTTGGATCATGGATTCATGGGCTGTATGGTCATACCCATGATCGGATGCTGGAGATCGTGGTTTCCTATTTATATAGAAAGTTTTTTTATATGAATTCTTATTACTCGTATTAGGAGATGGATTTAAAGGAGTTTTGCTTGCAATGTCGGAATAGCCTCGTTTGGATGGGCGGACTCTTACAGATGCTTCGTCATAAGAGATATGTTCTTGCGACATAATTACTTTAATAGATTTTTGTCTATTAAATTCTGGACAGGATGAACTAATAGCTGTATGATTACCAGAACAGTGAAGACATGTGACCGAGGTAACTTCACATGATTCTCCATCATGTGGTTGTTCACATTTATAACAACGAGGCTTGGATCGGCATTTAGACTTAACATGACCGAAACGACAGCAGTTATAACATTGTATTGTTGGTAAGATGTATGGTTCTACAGGATATGACGTGAAATAGGCAAAAACATGTGAGGGCAGTAATTTACCAGAGAACGTAATTACAATCGTTTGTGTTGGAATCCACTCAACAGAGTTACCTGCTTTAATAACTTTACGGTTTAGACGACGAGCGCGAATTATTTCTGTGGAAGAGGCAACTTCTGATGCAGAGACGAATTCATCCATACCTATATCGATTGGAACACCTCTAATGATACCCATTCTCGTAATAGCATAGGTAGGAATTACCGCTACAAAATTTGCTTTAGCAAGTAATGGACTTACAATAAAATCGTTAGCTAGTTGGGGGGAAGAAAACTCAATAGAAATACGATTGCGTCCTATTCTCTTAACACCATTTTTTAAAATTCCCTGAATATTGTTTTGGTACAGAAATTGACCCACTTTAATTGGCTTAATTGTAGTTCCGGAGGAGGGCTCCACTGTCGGTTTCATAATGTGAACAATAAAAGGAGCACTGTCATTACTATTATAGCGTTTCTTTTGTTCAGATAAAGGGTGAACAAATACATTCTGTACGGCTGCTGAAGGAAGAGAAGACATCTTTTGCTTCGGTTCTAAATTTAGGGATGATATATTATAGGCTTTGCGTTTCATTGGATTACCAGTATCGGACTGATAAAATGTATCAGTAGGATTAGAATTAATAAACAAGTCGGGTGAAGATCCAGATTTTCCGGCATCATCCGGAGGATCTGAATCCTGTTCAATCTCTTCCATCCCCAGTAGATAAGCTAGCTACGAATAATAATAAACACTTACGTACAATAATTAGATTGAAATTTAGAAAAATATACAAATTCAAACGAAAATAACGTCGTTAATTAAAATTTTCTTGAGAAAATTTATTAAACCCGTGTGACAACCAATCACCATGACAACAGAATCAAAAACTTCTATATATTTAAAACTAACTTCTCAATTAAATGTAACAAAAACTTCAACTCAGTGTCAACTAGCGACATCTGGTGAGTGGCAGATTATTAGTATTAGCCCTCATTGTTTTGTGATCGAGTAGCGGCAGTGCTCCACAGACTAATATTACGCCAGTATATTCTTAGTATATGAGTATGATCAGTGCTCTTGAATTTTAAAGAAAATCAAGAGCGCGCTTGTGCATCGTTTTACACACAGTTTTCCGTTCCGTAAACGCAGTGCACGCCATAAAAGTTATTTCATTTTATTCTAATTGCATTAAATATAGGTACCATGTTATAAAAACATAAATAGATAATAATACTGTTTTCATCTCTGGGCCGGGGCATCCCAGTGCCAGCTCCTTCCACTTGACCGCATCCAGCGCGCAAACTTGCGATACCATCCATACCACCTGTATGATTGGCGGTTCACCACTTTGCGATTTAGAAGATGTTTTCTTCCTCGCACAACTTCCTTGTGGAATTGATTACCACCAGCGTTTTTTCCGGACCGATACGACTTAGGGACTTTCAAGAAAAGAACCTACTCCTTTTTAAAAGGCCGGCAACGCATCTGCAATTCCCCTTGTATTGCGGTTGTTCATAGGCGGCGGTAGTCACTTACCATCAGGTGAGCCGCATGCTCGTTTGCCCCCTCTCCTATAAGAAAAAAAAAATTATTCCACAGAGTTGTTTATGATATATACTCATTTAAAGTTAAAAATAATAAGAGAGTAGATTATCTTCATTTTAATGAATATACGCAATTGACTGAAAACAAAGATTTATTTGACACTCCTTTGCTTAATAATAACAATTATTCTCTAAGTTAATCAATTTTATAACTACATAATATGTATAAATCTATAACATGATGTTTTAAAAAAATAAAGATTAGCATTATTTTAAACTTATGGTCTTAAATTACACAATTTAATGATTATAAAATATTGCATTTAACTGCATTAAATATGAGTTAAAATGGGTATTTATTTAGACAACCTTAAATATAGATTAGATATATACCAAAATACAGAAGTTCACTCTCAGTTTTGTAAGGCAAAGGGGGTTTACTGTTTTTAAAATATTAACAATATTTTATTTTGCTAAAGATAACATTTTGCTGCCTAGCACCAATCAGCCATATAAGTAAAGTCTTGGAACAGTTTATGGTCTGTGGAACTCAACGGACGTGGTTCCTTTGGTGGGGTGAGTACTGGTGCTTCCGAAGTGAATTCACTGTCAAAATTACTTACATCTTCTAGATTGTTAATGGTTGGCACAAAAGGTGGCTTAACTTTGCGAAGTAGTAGCTGCTCCCAATTAACATTACGGAAGAAAGCTTGTTTCTTAACATCCTCTGCATCTCTTTCAGACGAACCTAACCGTCTTTCTGGATTTTTCCTTAACAAACGACGCATTAGTGCAATAGCTTCTAAAGATAAAGTTCTAGGATAACGAATTTCATCATTAACAATTGAATCAAATACTTCACCTTCATCTTCACCAGGAAAAGGTGATTCACCAACTAACATTTCGAATATTAAAACTCCGAGACCCCACCAATCAACTGCTCTTGTGTAAGATGTTTCTGTCAGTACTTCAGGAGCTAGAAATTCTGGTGTGCCACAGAATGTTCCAGTACGGTCTCCCCACCCCATTCCTTCTTTACATAAACCAAAATCGGCAATTTTGACATATCCTTCAGTGTCCAGCAGTAAGTTGTCTAATTTTAAATCTCTATAAATAATGTTATTTTCATGTAAATACTGTAGGCCTAATACTACACAAGCTGCATAAAATACTGCCCTAGGTTCAGTAAAAACATCAGTATGTATATGCATCATAAGGTCACCTCCTGCTGCATATTCCATTACAAAACACACATGTTGTTCCGTCTGGAAACATGCAAACAAATTTACTAAAAATGGATGCCTTATAGCATTTGCTACTTCAAAAATTCTCTTTTCAGATAATAATGAGTCTACTTCATCTCTAGCAATAATATCACTCTTTTTTAAAGCTTTAATAGCAAAATATTCATTAGTAGGTTTGTACTGCGCTAGAATTACTTTTCCAAAGTGGCCACGTCCCAGAACACTAAGCAGTCTAAAACTCTCCATTGACATTTCACCGGATTGTCTTCGTGAATCTGTTTCTTTTCCTAATGTTTCTATTACAGAAGATGAGCGAGATGATGACAACCGCATATTACTTGTAATTTCGACAATTTGATCTTCATTGCTAGGATATTCCAAAAGAAGTTTAGGGGATGGAGATGGCGGGTATTCTACTAAAGGTGTGTTACATGATGATGTTTGTGAATCTTTAGGAACATAATTATCTCTAGTATATGAATCTTCTAAAAATGCAAATGCTTCCTGTAGCTCCTTTTCCATTCTTAATGTAGATACATTAGGAGGAGGATGTAAAGGCAAAGTAGGCTTTGGTGGGGGTGTAACAGGCACTTGTGGGGTAATAGGCGAAGCTGGTAAACCAAGGGGCCTAACACCTGCCATGCCAACTAAGGTGGCATTTGGATTATCAATCTCTTTATTATCAAGAGAAGTTGTTTCATAAATATGCTGATGTGGCTGTGAAATATGAGCTGTTTGAATGTTCTGAATTGATGGTGATGAGCGTTTCAAAAGCCTTCCAAGAATGACGGCAGGAATATGCATTTCTCCATATGGAGGACGAGGGATATTTTTGCCTTGTTGTTTAATTATTTTTCTTTGACGTTGAAGTTTTGGTTTTCTTGAAATTATCGGATTCAAGAACTTAATTTCGGCAAATAATAGACCTTGTGGTTCAAGTTCTAAAGCCATACCGTGTCGGATATCATCAATGAATTCCTCTAGTCTCAAAACTTTCACTCCACATAGGCCTCGCCAATCTTTCCAGTGAATACCAATTTCAAGTTCTCTCGACTTGTCAAGTTTAATTGTGAACCTGGAAAAAAGACATGAAAACATTGTTAAAATATTGATATTTGTTTTCTTTTCGAGATAACTCTTAGTTACAAATAGACTACAGCAGCTTATATATTTTAAAAATTACGAAAATAATTAGACAATAATTATATATTGATAACATTATAAGTACCATGTAGTGGCAGTATAAAAAATCCATTACCCCATAATATCATCCCGTGGGTGTCGTAAGAGACGAATGAGTGAAACAAATCAGATGGGCATCACCATCTTCTTAATAAAAGCTAAATTTAAAAAAAAAAACTTCAATTGCCAATCCGCTGACAAGCGTGGTAATTATGGCAAATATCTCCCTATGTGGCAATGTATGGGAGAGGCCTATGTTCAGTAGTGGACTTTAATAGACTGTAACAGTAACGGTATAAGTACCCAAGACTTAATCCAATCACATGCAATCACATCTGCAGCATATGATGGCTTATTAGTCCATTGGAGCATTTGGCTGCTGTGCTATATAGGTCACACGTGGCCAGAAATTTTTAACAGGATGTGGAATAACAGTCGGAAGGCATTCAATGAATGGACGACAGTAGGAGTCCATTAAAGCAGACAAAGATTATATGAACTTTACCATGAAAGGTCATATAACCCTAGCATCAAATTTAGAGAATATGTAAAAATATTCAAAAATATTTAAAAGAGTGTACTCCACAGCCAAGTCTTTGCATTTGAGCAACAAAATTAAGACGGCTTCTAATAAAATTAAAGTGATATGGAGTATAATTAATACTGAAACAGGTATGGCCAACTCTCGCAATTCAAACAACCGGTTAAGTTTTAACAACAAATGAACTGAATCAGATCAGGATGTTGCAATGGTTTTTGAGAAATATTTTACTGATATTCTGATCTTATACACTAAGTCACTGAATTCTTCTCCTGGCGTCGCCGAATCATTACTTAAATAATTTAAAATTAAAAATTTTGTACAGCCGACTTCAATATAAGTTATTTAAGAATAACTTAAAAACTATTGGTCTGACCTTGATCAAATTCATATGGGACCACACGAGAAGTACCAGCTTTCAAATAAAAAAAGAATCATCGAAATCGGTTCACCCAGGAAAAAGTTCTGAGGTAACACACATAAAAAAAAAAACGAAAAAAAAAACATACAGTCGAATTGAGTACCGGCTCCTTTTTGGAAGTCGGCAGACAAAATGTAAATGCGTGTACAAAGAATTTTACATTTCATAAAATATCATCAAAAGATATTTTAAAACTATGCTATACATTTTATACTATACATTCTAAAATATGATGAAGTAAATAATGCTATATCTAAATTAGTAAATTGGTTTAATGTTAATAACTTGCATTTAAACGGCACTAAAACGAAATGTATGAAAATCACGACTCCAAATGTCAAACAATTGAATACTAATGTAATTTTAAATGGGGTGGAACTGAGTCTTGTCGATACCACCATTTTTCTTGGTATAACACTAGACGCGAAGCTTCAATGGAGCCCCCATATATTAAAATTACCAAGCAGACTTAGTTCTGCAGCATATACTGTGATTGTAAGCTGTTATTTATAAAAAAGTCCTGCTGGGTTTCTTGCTGGTTCTTCCCAGGACAAAGGTTTTTTTCGTACCAGTGGTAATTAAACAGTAAGAGTGACTTTCAATAAGTATTATTTATAATCTCTATATTGAATAAAAAGTTTCTGTTTCTGTGATAAAATATTTGACACTTTAGGGACAGCATAACTAGTGACATAGCTAGGCATCCACTATCAACAGGCTGAGCCACAATGTCCAGCATGGTGAGTTAGTTAGAAATGTTTCAAGCAATATTGATATAAGATTATAAGCTTACCATCAGGTGGGATAGTAGTCAAGCACTGGCTTAAAATAGTGAAAAGAAAGGCATCATTTTACCTCTCTCTCCCAGCCCTGATTAAAGCTATGGTTGGATGCGAGATGGCGTGGAATGCCCACGTTACCTTCTGCGGAAGGAGGATGGCAGATATCCCAATCTGCAGCCAGGGTGCTAGGCGCCGGAGGAAAGGGTGGTAGGTCCTTCTCCACTAACCATAATTAAGGCTTAGGTGGCGTACGCAGGGATTGTTCTACATCTTTTAAGTAAGGCCTTGTGGTGGCGCGTACGTTGTGTTTCCCTTGGGGTTTTTATCTGGTAGGAGTCCGGCATGACCCGTGACGGTTATCCATGAGGATTTCCTCACATAAAAGAGACTGCCTTCAACTTATGAACTTAAATTTTTGGTCTAATATGCAAAACAGAAGGAGCTTACAGTATCTTAAAGTCTTGAAATATGACTGACATTGAAACTATCTTTGTTTTGCAGAAGAGAGCCATACAAGCAATTCATAACCTAGGTCTAAAGGAATCCCTTAGAGAAAAATTGAAGAAATAAATATATTATTAACTTTGGCCTCTCAATATATTTATTACAAAAATTTAATATATGTACACAAAAACAAAAATAGTGATGTACATTCTGTAAATACTAGGAACAAGCAGAAGTTAGTTATACTAGTTATTCGTCTCCAAAAAGTCAGTAACTCCTTCATGGGGCAATTTATACGTTTTTACAACAAAGTCTCAGAAAATATGCAGGCCTTATCTATCAAAAAGTAATTTTTTTTATTAAGTTATAATTGTTTAGTAAAGGTTATTATACTACTAAAGAGTACATGATTGATAATAACCCCTGGGAATGAGGTGATTGCTTCTATCTTCATACAAATTGTGTATAATAATTAAAGATGAAACGGATAGCCTGTTTGGCCGGATACCGGATATTCGGCCAGTCTATTCGCCAGATAGTCTTCCGAACTCTGCTCGACTCGGGCGACTTCGGGTCTACAGTTCATGAGCGAAGTATGCAATTGTTTCATTAGCATGTTGTATTGATTGCAAAGTTTTGCGTGTTTTTGTTATTTGAAGTATTTTATAATTCTTAACAGATTTAACAACAAAATAATATCAATAAAGAAAAGATCGCATTTATGGGAACATTTTGATATAAACAGTGATTATACTAAGCTTGCTGGTTGTTTATGCAATGTTAAAATTTCTATTGGAATACTTAAAAATGTCTTGGGAGTCCTCCAGTAGTGAGTCTTCAACATTGGCTAAAAAAAGTAAAGGAGAGGAGACAGAGTCATCCGTATCTCGCGAAGCTCATTACATGTTGTGGGATTACTTTAATGAAGTAACAAATTTAAAAAAAATACTTAGTCTTACCATGAAGAAAGAAACATGATTGCATGAGATTGATTTTTTTCTAAAGTCAGTGCGAACTGTTTGTACACAATACCATAATCAAAGTTTGCCAAAATCTATCTTTCAGCACCCTGCAGCAGTGTGTACAGCAAAATACTTTTTTCTGAAGCTGGCTTGTTTATGAAGACAGGTGAAGCCGCTTGTTAGTTTTCAATGCAGAGAAATTAGTATTTATTCACCAGAATTTGCACATAGTGCAGTACGAGTACTAATTTTCTAAGATTTAAGCAACTTAAATAAAGTACTTAACTAAATTTGATATTTTATGTTTTTTTTTAAATCCGATATCTGGCCAGATAGTAATTTAGGCCGGATAGGCCGAATACCGGATAGTTACCGTATATCTGTTTCATCTGTGAAAATAATATATTGTAAATTGATTTTATTTTTAAAAAGTTTTCTTGCTGGTTCTTCTCAGCACAGAGGTTTTTTCTAAACCAGTGGTAAAAGTAAAAAATGATTGTCAATAAGTATTTTTGTAATCTATCTCTATATATAAAAATCAATTCCTGTCCGTTAGTCTCGCTAAAACTCGAAAATGGGCTGAACAATTTTGATGAATTTTCTGTGTATGAGTGGATCTCATGATGGATTTGATTTACAATTGGACCCGGTTGGTTGCGCTCGTAGTACTGTTGTCGATATCCAGAAATCATCCTTGCAAAGCCGGGGCGGACTGCTAGTATTAAATAAAAATGATTGCATTCTATTCTATTTTTTGCAAGCAGATGGTAGCACCGAGCCATCTTCTCTATTGAAATTTAGATGTTTTTCAATAGACTTGTGAATCCTCTTTGTTAGGACAATAATTGTTGCAAAAAGATAACTTTTTATTTTACTCCCAATTCCCAATATATTTAATGTTAAATTGTAAAAATTATGTTGTTTTTTTTCCTAGTTTGGCAACTTCCAACGGATTCTGCCAGTGTCAAGTATTTTATAAAAGTCACACAGAGTATTCAACTTGTTTCTGTTTCCATAGACATGCTTACTTAGCTTTATGTTACGAAGTTACTTAAGTAGTTATCTTCTAATGAATTAACATATAATAGTTTTACAAAATTGTTGCTAATATAAATAAATGGATATGAAGTCTAATAAAGTTTGTACAAAAGGAGTGTAAACTAAATTTAACAAACACTTAAGATTTATAGGACGAGGGATGTTATTAGTCTATATTATGTGGCTTAAAAATATTACATCTTTACAGTAAAAGGGAAAACATAATGATAAGTTAGTGACTTATTTTACACATCCTACAGATAATGTAAAATTGAAGAATTGCCTATAAGCAAGAAAGTCTTAGTCATTATACAAATATGTCAACATGGCCTATTGATAAGATTAAGTGAGTAATCATACAAAAACAATCATAGGTATTACGTTTCAAGGAAAAGAGAGATAATAGTTGAATTAGGATTGTGTTATAAGTACAGATCAAAATAAAAAAATGAATTTGTGATATTGTGACAACAATATGCAATGGGTAAAATGGATTTCAGTAATTACCTTATAAATTTATAATATAATGGAAGAAAAATTAAGAAATGTGTATTTAACCACAAAAATAATTTTATATTTTATACAAAGTACTTAACTAAACTTGACATTTTATGTTTCTTTTATATCCGATATCTGGCCGAATACCCCGGAATGCGTTATCAACCATAAGTACTAAGATGTAATGACGCTTTTCCAGTAAAAAGGGTCTCCAGTTCTATACACTCACCATACGAAACACAGCAAGTATTAAGCTGCTATTTTACGCTGGTATTCTGTGAGTGTGGTCCTCCTCTAACTAATACTACTAATATAGCTGCAGCATGGCTCTATCACATATAAAATAATAAAATATATCAATAGGATTTTTTTACATTACATGCATTACATTCAACCAGTACCACTTTTACTATAAAGTCTTACCTCTGGTCCCAGGCTTGTTGAGAACATGGCTTCCAACTTGTTTGGGCCACTGTGTGATTGTCTAATTTTAGAACAGCCATAATTTCATTGCTGGTATCTTCTTTGATACTGTAGGTATATTTCATTGAGTTGCGTATTGTAACACCCTTGACAAAAGATTTAAGATCTGAAGGGCTAGCTAAGGGGTCACGTCGGCTACGACCAGGGACATCTTCTAAGAGATCTTGACAACCCATTAATCTCACCTCAAGGGTACCAGTAACTTGAACACAAGGGCTGATCATTGGGGTTGGTGACAAAAACTGAGCTCTTGAACCACTTCCCCAGGATAAACTAACATAACCAGGGCTTGAACCAGTACTGCGGAGCTCATGTCCTAATTCAATAAATGCTGGACACTCAACTGGAAGTTCTTGACGCCGCATGTCTAAAGATAAACGTAATAAATCTAGCTTTTGTGAAGACTCTAGAAGACTTGTCTGGGCTTCTTGCAATGCTTTCTTATCAGTTACCTTTTTGTCACTTTGCAAAAGCCTGATGGCATTTTTAGATCCTTCAACTACTGCTGCCTCTATACGTAATCGATTCCTCAACTCAGCTATTCTTTCATCAAGCAATGGATCTATACCACTCATGTCTGTGGTACGGCCATCACCATTTGAACCAGCATTATCCTCTTTTTGTTGTTTACTCATTTTTGAAATGCGTAATTTAAGGTATTCAATTTTGTCTTTAGAGTCAGCTAGCATCTGATGTGCTTCTGCAAGAAGCTTTTTGTCACGAGATTGATTACTACTACTTATACTTTGTATCATGTTCTCAGCACCTTGTTTAACTTTGAGTTCAATATTCAACTGTTTTTCAAGTGATGCCAATTTGCGGTCTGCAGTCCCCTCGCCAAGTTGCCGCTGTTGCTGAGCCGCCTCAGAAGCCAAAATAATTTCTTCATCATAAGATAAATCCTCAGGAGAGTTGGGAGTAGACTGACCTCGAGATAGTAGTAGCTGAGACTCAAGTTCTTGTAGGTCTGATTTGAGTTCATTTAGTTTTAAATTTGCTTTTTTTACAATATTTGCTACGTCGGAGAGTGATCTGCGATCGGTAGCTACTTCACGTAATTTTTCAGCGCCTTCTTTTATCTTCAACTCTTTACGTATCTCCCTACGTATGACATCCTTGAGTTCCTCCAACTTAGACGGCAAAGCTATTTCTGGAATACATTCCGTCTTAATTCCATATTTGATACCCAATTCATAAAGGACAGGGTGTCGAATATAATCGCCGTGATAATAACCTGGCTCTGCCATAATTGAGGATGCACAGAGTAACGTCAGTTAACCATAATTATGTGAGAAAATATTGCTACTATTGCTTTTTGATCACAAAAATAACGTAAGGATATTATGGTGATTAGTTAAACTTATAATATGCACAACTATATATGAAATCATGATGTTAAAGCATTTAATACTAAAACATTTGTTAAATATATAACAAATACAAAACAAAACAAGTAATAAACAAGTCGTTTAGTCAATGAAACCAACGAAACGATGTTGAAAACCCTACCATTATACCATAGATTGATAGACTATAGATGATGGATGACGTAAAACAGAGAAAAATTAGCAAAAGTCGTTTTAATATGAACGTTTAGCTGTGAGACGTTTAGAATTTCCTTGGATTATTTTATTATTTCTGGAACGGGAGTGTAAAACTATTTTTATCGTGGATTTCTTCCAAGTGATTGTTAGTTGTTATAATAATCGTGAAAGCGAAACATTAAATCGCTTGAATGTACATATTATAGTCATCACAAATCAGTTAATTATGAATTTGACCTGTGTCTTATGAAGAGATTAAAGCATAAATTTCTATGCTTTAAGCTATTTGCTTATTGTACTGGAAAAATTATAATATTCAATAATAATTTTGACAATATTTAGCTATGTAGTATTAAAAAGTATAATTACACATGTATTACGTATCGCATCATTCTACTTACGTAGGCTACACTAAAAGTATCGGGAATGGAATATTTCCACTGTTCCTATTATTTTAAAATCTTTTTAATTGAAAAGACCTTGGTTTTAAAAATCGAATACCATTTATTTAAAAAAAAGATTCTCGGTCTTGTCACAAGGTTTTGTCAAACTTGTTTAGTCGTTGAGAAAATGGAATTGACTCGAGAAAATTCAAGAGCGATGATTTATTATGACTTACGAAGTGGTTTAACACAAAAACAGTGTGTTGACCGGATGGTTTCTGCATTTGGTGATGAAGTCCCATCCAAAACCACAATTTATCGCTGGTTTGCTGAATTTCAACGTGGACGTGTCAAGCTCAGTGATGATCCCCGTCAAGGTCGTCCAAAAACTGCAGTCACCCAAGAAAATGTTGATGCTGTGCGTAAGCTGATTGAGGAAGATCGACATGTGACATACCGCGAAATTCAGGCAACTTTAGATATTGGCATGAGTCAAATACAAATAATCTTGCATGAACAATTAGGTGTAAAAAAGTTTTTTTCCCGATGGATACCGCATTCTCTCTGTGAAGAGCAAAAAGCGGCTCGCGTTACTTGGTGCGTCAGAACTCTCGAAAGATTCCACGCAGGATCCTTAAATGCTGTATACAACATCGTATCAGGTGACGAATCCTGAATATACGGGTATGATCCCGAAACAAAAAACCAGTCACGAGTTTGGGTGTTCGAAAATGAGTTAAAGCCAACAAAAATTGTTCGTTCACGGAGTGTTGCAAAAAAAATGGTGGCCACGTTTATCTCCAAATCGGCCATGTTAAGACTATTCCTCTTGAGGGACAAAGAACGGTTAATGCAGAATGGTATGCTAGCATTTGTTTGCCACAGGTCGTGTCTGAGCTCCGTAAAGAGAACTACAACCGCCGCATCATCCTCCATCACGATAATGCGAGTTCTCACACCGCACACAGAACAAGAGTTTTTAGAGCAAGAAAACAGAATTATTAGACCATCCGCCGTACAGCCCCGACCTAAGCCCTAATGATTTCTATACTTTCCCTAAAATAAAGAATAAATTGCGTGGACAGAGATTTTCATCACCTGAAGAAGCTGTGGACGCCTACAAAACGGCCATTTTGGAGACCCCAACTTCCGAATGGAATGGTTGCTTCAATGATTGGTTCCATCGTATGGAAAAATGTGTCAAATTTCGCGGAGAATACTTCGAAAAGCAATAAATACATTTTTAAATAGTAATGTTGTGTCACTTCCTTGTGAGCAAAGGCAGAGTTTCGTACATAAAATTAGTTGAGAAGAAATGGTAGCGTCTATATATCAAAAATATCGTAAAATGTTAAGCGTCAGTCCCTTAATAACTCTGTCAAAGAATTTTGTCCTGAGAAGGCGTCAAAAAAAAGATATTTACATTTGAACCTTTTTAGGTTATGTCCTATGTCACTTGGAAAAAGTCATGCTTCCTGTGATTGTTTGATGTTAGCCTAATATATAATACATAGTTGAGAGTTTTTAGATTATTGTATCTCTATTATATATTTGCATACTATAAATGTATATTTCTGGCATGGCTCCAGGGCCTTTGTATCATTTGACATTCTCAGAAGGGCTAGAACCCAGAGCCGTAAAGCCAGTAAAAAAACAGTGACATTTTGTTTTAGCTAGTGTTGGCATAACATTAAATGGAATTGTTACATAGTACTATGATTGAGATAATGTATTATTGTAGGAAATTCTTTGTAAGAGACTTATTTTCAGCCATATCTCTTTTATTTTTATTATTACTGATAGTACAGTTATTACTAATAATAACTTAATATAAAAATATTTTGTGTGTTGTGTTGATAGTCTTACAAAGTACATACAAAAATAGTATGAATATACTAAATGGCAACACTTGAACAGAGTAAAATGATTTAAGTGGAATTTTGGCGGGAAATTGACCGGCGGCGGTTTGCTGCTCCTGTATTATTGTTTAAATAATGGTTTGAAGTGGACTTTGATATGTAAAAGTGTTGCGATTTTGTGTATTAAGTGTCTACGCATGTGAACCATTAGTGGAAACAGTGAAACAAGTGCTCTGATGGTGATGGATTCTCAAGATAAGCTGTTTGTTTGCATAGGCACCTTTAGATACCATCGCCAACTATCAGCTGTCTGCTGGATCAAGTTGCCGCCAAAATCTCCCAAGAACTGCACAATGTGATGCATCAACATATTGTGAAGCAGTATACTATGAAGGAGTGGGGAAATTACAATAAACCGAATAAAAATACTTAAGACTTGGCCTAAAGGTCTAGATACCAGGCCATAAACTCCAAAAAAAAAATGATTTAAGTCATTTGATATTCCCAAAAATGTTTGTACTTTTCTGTGGCTTTAATTAAAATACATTTTTATTTGAAAAATCATAGAAAAATAATAAAACTCATTTTATATATAACTTATTTCTAGACGCGATAATTTTTGTCAACTAATTTTCTGCCATTGTTCTTTCAGTGTCGCCCTCGTAACAAGCACCATGCACGTAACCGCAACGCTGATACAGCGAAATGCATTGCATCGTATTGTATTGGACTCCGGACTCTTGTTTCAACATCGAGCATGGCATTTTTTTTGCATCCTCCGGCTGCACCTTTCCTAATTGGCGCAGTTGGTGGGATCACTGGCAGTTCGAGTTAAAGAAAAGATCACAACCAACGTCAGTGGCGATACAGAACTTACAAGAGCTGCTGTTAAGAGGAGTATCCGAAAATCGATACAGTAAAGAAATCAAAATATTAATAAGAGTATATAGACCTATCTAGAGAGCAGAGGCAGATTAAATGTCGACAGCGACCTAGGCTGTACATCATCGGCGCCCCTCTGACGGCAATTTATAATAAATTATAACTACTTATGTTGCAAATTAAACTATATTATAATTTTTACCTTGGAAGGAAAAAGGGAGATCTCCTGTCGGGTAAGGTGTTCAGCTCGGAGAGAGGCCAACGCTCCGAGTGGTATCTATATTTGAATTCTGTGATGTTAATGCTGTTAGTCTTTTTGGCTTTTACAACTTCATCTGCTGCTGATTCATGGAGTTATATGTATAAAAAGGGAAAGGCAATGATCATGACGACAATAATGACGATTATTTATGATTTGGTATGTTACCAACCATCAGGACCCCTCTGTAGGTTTTTGAGCTATCTAACCGCAGTCCCAGTGACTTCTACAGCTCGTGTCAATCGATGTTCTCAGTGGTGAGAACTGCCCAGGTACGCGGGTGTACGATATGTACGTGGTGCATGGGATTGCGTCTTACCTGAACACGGGTGCAACGCGTCCCATCCGTTGTCGTATTAGTGTTTGACACATTGGATATATTGTGTACTGTCGTCGTGTGATGTTCCTGCGAAGTTTGGGTTGCCGAAATCGAGTGGAATTGGTGGTTCGATAAAATCGTTGCGGGATCTACGGACACCGGGTACAACGTTTGCGATTGAAACGTAGTTGGCTGCGTTTGCCACTAGCGCGTTAGGATAGGTTTCGACGCTAACAAAGTAGTGCTGATAAACAGCTCCTTCAATTATTCGGAGAGGAAATTCACAGTCTCTGTGTTAATTGGAATTTCGTTGATACCACCGAAGCTTCGGTGGCTTTGTGGATGGAGTAATTTTGAATTTTTGGAGCTCGTATAGGTGAGTTCTATACGTATGAACGAAGGCAACACTTGTTTGGGATATGATAGGTCCAACGTAAGTTTTGGAGACGTGAAGTTTGTGTTTCAACAATAGTTTACTCTAGCTGAGGATGGACACAGCTAACTCCTTTTCAATAGCAATTCTATGTGCTGAAGTACTTCGGAATATAATAGCGTGATTTAGACTTCCATGAGTTTCGCTTGTGGCGCAACGACTGCGCCGCCACATAATTTAAAATATAGTTTATTTGCAAATTAATTAGGAAGGCAAAATACGTGTAACCTTAACAGATGGGCGTGAGTGAAATGTAATGAGAGTGAAGAAAGCAAGAGGGATAGGATGTGTTCATTTTAAGAATAATAAAACCATTTAATAAGGATACTTATTACTCTGAAATTGTTATACTTTTATTTAGTACGTTAAATACTTGATTTTGCAGCACGCTATGGAGCCCCTAATATCAAATAGATATTTAGAGAATAGAAAAAGTACAAAAAATCCCTGTGTGCAGTTCACACGTGGTAGAAGAGAAATCTTCAAATGAATGAAATATAAAATAAAAATATTTCACAACAAATGATTTATTAAATTCAACACAAGCGTGGCATAAAATATACGACGGAAGTTTAATTTTATAGCAAATAAATGTTACAATCCTTATTTTTAGATATGTAGAGCCTAAATTTTAGTGTATTAAATCAAAAGATCGTTTTCTTTTGGATAAATTGTTTTAATATTACATAAATATAATATTAGTAAATTGAATAAAATGTCAATAAATTTTTGTGAAATAATTTTATAGAACAAGGAAACAAAAATTGGATCTGTCACACATGTACGGTAGTTTTCCGTTCAAATTTTGCGGATTAAACGGGATTCCGTATATGTGTGGCCGACTCATTCGTAATTCCGAAACGGAATTCCGTATGTATGTGGCCGGCCTTAAGGTGGGTTCTCTACACTTACCATACGAACCACAGCAGTGTTAAGCCGCTATTTTACGCTGGTGTAGTGGGTGCGCAGTCTGTTGTTATGTGTATAGTAACGGGCATATAGATAAATAATGTCCAACACTTACTACATTAACACGTTTATTGCACATAAATACAGTCCCACCAATAATTATATAGTCAGAAGGAGAATGCAACACTTACAAGAAGAAACAAGGTTATAGATATAAAGAAAGGCGGAGAGAAGTTTAAGAGAAAATAGATAATAGGCTTTAGTACACACGTAAATATTTTAATAGCACCGTCCGTAAGCTAAAGCGACAATCTCTCTCCGTAGTAGTACGTAACCGACTGATCGAGGTTCAAGGAGGCGTTGCGCTCACGCCACCCGCTCGTAGCCATTCCCGCACTCGATATCACCTTATAAGGTAATGCATCGATGACACCACCGGGATCGAACCTATGAGCGTCGGCCAACTGGTAAGTATGGTGGTGTGTTATTAGTGTAAAATGTAGTTTGTTGAATGCGTGTGTGTGTGTGAGAATGTATGTTGGTGTAATATATTATGTGTGAGTTGCACGTTCCCCACACTGGTATTCTGTGAGAGCGTGGTCCTTCCCCGGTCGAGCCGACTCATTCATGCTACAACTATACTTTTAATATAGCTGCAGCATGGCTCTACCACGTCTAAAAAGCTTTCGGATCTCATCAGGTGATTAGGCGTAGTCCGCGCGACAAGCAATGTTGAACTATTTTAATTTTTCATTGTCTCTTAAACTATGCATATAAATAACATGCGCTACAGAGCAAAGTTTTCTATAATTAGGAAAAATGGTTAAGATAAATTGGACGGGTTGGTTGGAATGCAAAAAAGAACTCAAGAATTTGCAGAACATTTTCTTGAGAAGTATAAAAGAAATGGTAGAATAAAAACAATTTTATTATACGGAGCCATTTCTACATTATTTGAACCAGTAAGTATATAATATTGTTATCATAAAAGACTTCGAAAATTTAACTATCAAAACTTTAGATAAAAATAGAGACAGAATTTTATTTATTATAATACTGTAGTATATTATATTAAAGATAAAAATCTATAGATTATCCTATTTAAGCGATTATGAACATAACTAAGTACATATATATCAACGGCAGTAAATATTTTTCTCCAACGATCATAGCTCGAAAATACAACTTTCCGATCTAATTTTTGGGGAGCTTTTTAAATTTATCGGTAAAGTCACCTGTGATTTTATACATTTATATTAAAATCCAACGAAATGCAGGTAGGTTCAGCTTATTCCCAGGAACATGTTATATAAATATAGTTTTTATTTTTTTAGAACTATCATGGTAATATTCAGTTAATTATTGAAGTTATTCAATTTCATGCCGCTTCCTTAACAATAATTTTTCGATAGTACTTGTATATAAAATGTACAACACTAGCTAACGCACACAATGACAAATCAAAATTGGTCACGCGTTTTCGGTCTGTCAGGTCGTTTATACGCCAGTATATTCTTGGTCTATGGGTTTAGTAAGGCTCAGAAGGGCTAGAACCCAGAGCCGTAAAGCCAGCTATAAAATAAAATTAGGTTTAGTATACAGTAATCTATGGGTTTAGCTTTCAATTTATTTTTCAATGAAGATAGGTCATTGTTTTAATGGAAAATAATGCCAGTTAAAGTTGATATAACTCCACCACCTCCCGCAAACTCAAAACAGCCAGGTGTAACGAAGTCTCTTCTATATAACGGCTCTAAATTTCAAGGACATCAAGCATCAAAAGGGAATTCCTATGAAGTTGAAGTAGTTTTACAGGTTAGTATCTAAAAACAAAGTACGCAAATAGAAATTTTCCAATACAATTTTTGTATTGTGTTGTCTTTATTTATTATACTGCTGTTGTGTCTTTTTTCCATAACGTTCGCTAAAGACATAGTTTTTAAAAGAAATACTAAGTCTTATGTATATTCGTTAATTTGGACGTCAAAAGAGTTAGAGTAACCATTTATTTATAGTAATATTGTTTCTTTTTGCAGCATGTCGACGAGGAAAATTCTTATCTTTGTGGCTACTTAAAAATTAAAGGGCTTACAGAGGAATTTCCTACATTGACAACATTTTTCGATGGTGAAATTATATCAGCTAAGTATCCCTTCCTAACTCGAAAATGGGATGCTGATGAGGATGTGGACAGAAAACATTGGGTGAGTGCATTGTTTGTAACTGTTAGTAAGTAGTAGTACATTTTATATTTGTGCTGACATCTAAGCTATAATTAATAACTCTCAAACCATGCACATTATGTTATATCTTTATTTATTAAGTAAGTATCTGAAGATAGCTACTGATGTGGACAGATTTTGTCAGACATAAAAGGCATATTAATATATTTTTGTATACTTGTAACTTTGAGTATTTGCATAGATTATCTGTAGTGGATCAGAAAAAGTCTAAACATATACTGCCAGCTAAAAGTTTAAAGCCATTTAATTATTAAAGTAAGAAAATGAAATAAAACTTGATGCTTCAAAATGTATGATGCAAAAGGCTTTATATATACAATTTTCTATCCATGTATATTTGACTGAACTGTTTTTAAACGGCATCCAGCCATTTAAAAACAACATTTGATAAAATTTTGTGGATGTGTTTAAGTTGATTTGAGAATGGTTTAGATTCACAATTGAAACCGGCAGCTGGCACTATTGTCAGCATCCAGAAACCCCTCACGTGAAACTGGGGCAGATTGCTAGTCATCATATGTATTAAGGCATAAATAAAAACATTGAAATTTGAACAAAATATCAATCACTTAAAAATGAAATGTTGAATTGAATAAAAGGGCCGTTTTCCACAACTTCACGTCTAAGCATATATTTTGCATGTGGGCAGAAATAATGTATTTATTCGAGCCATGAAATCTCCCCGGAGAAGTTCAACAGTCCTTTGATGTTGCAAGCAACTTTGGAGAGTGATACCGGCGTGCCGAGATGTTTAGCCCTGTATGTAATGACTTCCAGACATGTCAGCAACACATGGGCTGCCGTTTCTCCCTTCCCCATACATGCCCTGCATATGTGACTGTCAGTATCACCTATGTTAAATAAATGTTTGTTATAGTTTCCATGTCCTGTGATAGCACTTTTTACTATCCTGATCTGCGTCTTGTTCAGTCTCGTCTCATTAGTACCTTGGTTAAACAACTGTTTATTTAAGGTAAGGCATCCTTAGCTTGTCTACAGTCTGCTATATTTTACCAAACTTGAGCGTGTTGATTAGTGAAGTGTCTACGTACCAGTGAATGGACATTACCAAAGATTGGTATGATTGGTTCCAGCCCTATAGTGGCCAGAGCCAATCCTCTTCTGGCCAGTTCGTCTGCTGCATCGTTGCCTCTGGATCCACTGTGTCCCTTTATCCATTGCAGAGTCACAATTTTGTGTTTACATACCTCATTTAATCATTGATGGCATTCATATATTAGTCCTGAGCTCACCACATTGCAACTCAGGGCTTGTAGTACCGCCCTACTGTCGGTCAGTATTCTGATGGGGAAGCCATTAACATTTTTAGATTCTATTGCTTTGGCCACTTGAATGATACCCATACATTGCCTGAAAGACTGTGTTGTAGGTATGTACATATGTGGATGTTGAGGTCTTCAGAAAAAGTTCCAGCTCCTACACCTTCATTTGTTTTAGAACTATCAGTGAAGACTAAGCTCTTTTGGGCTTAATCCCTACGGCTGGCTGTTTTCATATAATTGTTCTATGTGTAGATGAAGCGGGGTTAGCTCCAGCATCGCCTCTAAGGCTGCTGTTGGCGTAGTTCTTATGCAGCCTGTGGCAGCCATGCATGCCAGTCTCATGTAACGCTGAAGCTTCTTTATTCAGCATTTGTTTTTGAGTGAACATTACTAGAACTGTTTTATTTGGATTGACAGTTAAGTTGTATTCCCTGCACCACCTCTCCATAATATGGAGAGCCACTTGGGTTAGGTCGCACACCATGCTTGCTGTCTTTCCAGAGACCAGTATTTTCAGCTCATCAGCATAACCTACTGTGTAGAAGTGATTGGCATTTAATTTGCTGATGATTTCATTTATGACCATATTCCATAGGAGAGGTGAAAGAACCCCACCCTGCGGGCAGCCTTTCTTAATCAGGATTGCTTGAGATTCACCAGCAATATTTATTGTTCATGTACTAAGCATGTGTACTATTCAGTCAATCAGTGCCGGTTCAGCTTTATGTCTACTGAGTGTATTTTTTATGTTGGAGAACTTCGTTCTGTCAAAAGCACCTTCTATGTCTATGAAGAAACCTAGACATATTACTTTGTTTTGGATGGCCTCATCTATCTTTGTTTTTACCTGGTGAAGTGCCGACTCTGTCAATTTACCTAAGCTGTAGGCGTGTTGTTTGTCGTGTAGCAGAAAATTCATTAGCACCGACCCCCTCAATTCCCTTTCACACAACTTCACTATTGTCTTTAGGAGAAAAAATGTGAGGCTGATGGGTCTGTAGGATTTAGGGTCTCTATGACTATACACCTATAAACCAGGTAAGAGCAGTCGCTCTTACCTGGTTTGGGTATGAATATGACTTTAATTTCCCTCCATCCCCTAGGAACATATTTAAGAGCCAAACAGGCTCTCATTATGGCAACAAGTCTGACTATTAGGGCTTACACTCGGAACGGCAACACGTCGCTTCGCGCGCTAGCAACCGCGCAACGCGTCTTGTACATACTCATAATCGGTCCGATTCTTTGACGGCTTATTATTCAAGAAATGGAGTGGCGCTGGAGAGTACATACAGCGGAGGTGCTTAGTCAAACACTTATCATATCACCCTCTCTTGCTATTAGTTATACCTGTCATCACTAATCACTGCTTTTATATGCCTTTATTTTAAATTTTCTTATTTTCAATGAGACCACCGTTTTGGCGGATACAAAGGGCTAAACGGCGTTTCATGTTTTTCCGCACATTTGAAAATAAATTGTTTGAAAATAAATTGTTACTTTTAGCCATTTCCCTGAATTTCTCAAACAAATTTATTATTCGATGGCGTATGTGTTCCTCCGAATCCACGTTCTCCGCGTACACATCGTCTTTGATGCACCCCCAGAAAATAAATCGAGTGGCGTGAGGTCTGGCGATCTTGCTGGCCACCTATGAGGTCCAAATTTACCGATCCCTTGTGCACCAAATGTGTCATTTAGCCACTGCCTGGCTGTTGTTACAGAGTGTGCTGAGGCGCCATCTAATTGATACCACATTCCTTGGTATCGATGAACGTTTAGGTTGTTTGTGTGCACCGTATCATTTAGTAGATTAACAAATCTTTCTCCGTTCAAAGCCCCATCAATGAATACGGGTTTGATGATGTTGTCACCGTGAATGGCTGCCCAAACATTGACCGAAAATTTGTACTGATCGGCTGACTCCCGCCAAACGCACGGATTTTGGGTTTTGGGTGCCCAAAGGTGCAGATTTTTTTTTAAATACTAGTAATGCACGACCTTTCGAGTTGGCGGTCCGCACCCTGCGATTAGGCTACTGACTGTGTGCTGGTTCCACATGCCGTTTCTGGTGAACGTGCTTTCGTCAGTCCAACAAATTTGGGAAAGAAAGTCACTGTCCTCTTCAATTTTACTCAGTAACCACTGACAATAATTCACTCTTATTAATTTATTACGCGATAGCAGAGTATGTACTTTTCTAAACTTGAAAGGGTGCCACTTTTCGCGCTTTAATATCCTATGGACGATTCTGTAATGAACTTGAAAATGCCTAGCGCTCTAGCGGAGGCTAGTTTTTAGTTGGTGTTCGAAATATTGTATCACATTTTCAGTTAACTGGATTGGATTTTGTCGTGTAGACGGTTGATCAGGGCGTTGAAACCTAGGATCCACTGGCCGGTTTTCGCAGATGCGCTGAAGAGCCCCAATACAATAGTGCGAGGATGAGTGGGGCGGCATTTTGACGATATTCTCCGTAAATTAGGATCATGTCCGCATATTCAGCTGGTGTGTAGTTCGGATGTGTATTTGCTATTATGATCACAAGTTTACACAAGCACTAATAACACAAATAAAAACGTCTGTATTGCAAGAGATGTAAACGTACCTACTAGATTAGAAAACGAAAACAAAACAAAGCGTCTTTATCGCAGTACCATAATATAATTACTATCCTAATTACACAAAAATTAATAAATAAAACAATAGGTAAGCGTCTTTTTTGCGGAGAAGTTTACAAAAATATTAGTCTACGTAATTATGCACACTACTGTGAAGAAGTGTGTCAAGGACACGAATTCAGCTAGCACTAGAAAAGCAAAAAAGAATTCGATTTCGGTACAGCGGGGTGGGAGGCCGCCTGCTCGCCGACAAGGGGATGTCGCTTTTCTTCAATAGCTTATTCTTTTTCGTAATTTATTTTTCGGATGAAAAAATTTTTGACATCGAAGAAAGTTATAATATATAAAATGATAAGGTGTATGCCCATAGCAGTGAAGAAGCCAGCACGCGTATTCTGAGGGTTCAATGAGGAAATTACCCTTCGTCACTCATGGTTTGGCTTGGAGTCTCGTATTCAGGCTTAACTGAGGTGTTAGAATAGAATAGAATAGAATAGAATTAAATTACCTTTCATTTAATATATAATTTCAATATAATTATCAAAAAATGTATCATTAATTTTATAAAAAGTTTTTGACAGAACTTATGACCTGACTAAATATTACTTTTAGTATGTATTTAAAGATAATATAAGATCTTTATTGGGCTCAAACTTTTGACCGGCATTATAAATAATTTTCAGAGAGCATGCTCAAAAACTATTGTGCCAGGCTTGTGCTTGAAAATCATCGTGCCGGGCTCAGCCCTTTATCAGGACCAGCCCTTTATCATGAACAGGACTATTCTTGCAAATAAGGCTCATATTGTATAGATGGATTGGGCACAGTCAAGTATATTTTTGATTGACATTATCATTCCATATGATGAAATACTACAAGTATAGCCACTACAGACCCAATACTACTTGGCTGTTGAGGACACCAATTAGTAGGGTGGCTTGCTGCTGATGGAAATTATTCAAATATAGTCCATTTGATTTAAGAAACTAGTGAGTAATTAGTGCAATGCAGGGTAAAGGTGTATTCACAGTAGATTAAAAATTCAAACAATTTATATTTGAACAGATTAAGTTTAATGTTGGTTTAATGAATAAAAATCAACATTGAAAAAGTCATTATTAATATATTTTAATCAGTATCATTAGAGTTTTCGTTTGTATTTAGTACTTTGCTGTTTTTAGTACTGTGCTTTCCATAGTCACTTTAAATCACAAATTTTAAAGTATTTAAACGCTTTGTAAATTACTTCTCCTTCTCCACTATGAATTGAGAATCCACTTTTATCTTTAAGATTTATTGATGATCAAGGGACACAACCGTTTTGGACCAAGGCTTCCACTGTTCACTTGACTTTCTATTTTTTGCGACCGAGCAGGGTGTGTTCAGGCTGGCTGACTATGATCACTCCCTTTTTCTTAATGCAAGTAGACTGATGGTTTTTACAAATGGTTGAAGTCCCAAGTTTTTAATGGTCGCAGTCTGCCTCATATCAGGACATCGGAAATGACTGCTATTCTTCGTCATATTGCAGTAATATTATGGTTGCAGCACAAACAGGTCGGGTTGACTGGGGAAAGACCAAGCTCTCATAAAATACCAGAGTAAAATAGCTCATATGGTGAGTGTAGAGAACTGCATACCCTTTTTACTGATAACAACACATTCTATTTGAATTCACAGGTAAGTAAAAACCAAGTATCAAATCTTTAAAGTTGCTGCTTTTTTGTATGGTGAGATATTTGATTCCACCTTAGTCCTCAGGGTTACACTATACATCTACATTTTGATTCTTCATTGAGGATAGATGTAGTCTAGTATTAACAGTGGTAGAGCCACGCGGCAGCTTTTGCTGTCGCACGGATGGGCCGGCTCGAACCGGGGTGGTACCACAACCTCACAGAATACCAGCGTGAAGTAGAGGTTTACCTCTGCGTTTTGATTCGAAAACGAGGATAGTTGTAGATGTCTATGGGCCGCAGCAACCACTTACCATCAGGTGCACTGTGTGCTCGTTTGTCACCCTTATCCTATAAAAAATAAAGTCTATGGGTCACAGCAACCACTTACAATCAGGTGGACTGTGTTCTTTGGTTAGCCTTATGCATTGCATACTGCATTGTAAACTAGGTTCTGTTCCAATCGTTCACTCTTTGCCATTTGATCTTTCCTACCAAGGGCTTCGATCTATATATTTTCTTAATTGAATTATTCTTTCTATTGTCCTGTTCAGGTTGGACTTATTTTGAACTATGCGACTTATTTAGATTATTACAATGGTGGTTTATAGCTATACTAGGATCCAATGGAATGGTGTTACGAGGGTGGATTGAAAAGTACTCGGCCTAACCAAGAAAATAAACAAATACTAAATCAGTTATATTTTTATTTTTCTACATAATCACCATCAAGTTCAATACACTTTTGCCACCTCCCCTTCCAAGCATTTAGACCGTTGAAAAAAAATGATTCTTCCTTAGAGTCAAAATATGCGTCTACAGCTGCTTTGACCTCGTCGTTTGTCGAAAATCTTTGACCTCCCAAGTGCTTTTTCAGGTTAGGGAACAGAAAGAAGTCTGATGGTGCCAGATCAGGTGAATACAGCGGATGCGGTAACAGTTCAAAGCCACAGTTGTGAATTTCAGCCATTGACTGTACTGACGTGTGAACACGGGCGTTATCTTGATGAAACAGGACTTTTTTTCTGAGCATTCCTCGACGTTTTTCTTTTATTTCCTCTTGTAAACGACGTAGTAAGGTGCAGTAGTAATCAGAGTTTATATTCTGACCCCTTTCAAGATAATCATAATCACACCTTTCGAGTCCCAGAATACTGAAGCCATCACCTTATTTGCCGACAAAATCGACTTAGCCTTTTTAGGGGGTGGTGAACCAGGTCTTCTCCACTGTTTTGATTGTTGTTTTGTTTCCGGTGTACAGTAATGAACCCATGTTTCGTCCATAGTAACAAAACGATTCAAAAAATCATCCGCATCGGCTTCAAATAACTCCAAACAGTCGCGTGAAATAGTCAATCGCGTCCTTTTTTGTTCAACTGAAAGCAGTCGCGGAACCCACCTCGCAGACACCTTGTGGAAACCCAACTCGTTGACAATGATGTTTTGAGTTCGTTCATAAGAGATGCCTATAATCTCGGCTATCTCTCTAATTTTTAATCTGCGGTCTCCCATTATTAAATCAAGTACTTTTTTAATATTTTCGTCAGTAGTTGACGTCGAAGGCCTTCCAGAGCGGGGTTCATCTTTCACACTCTCTCTACCACGCTTAAATTCTGCTATCCATTTTTTGACGGATGAATATGACAGAGCACAATCGCCTAATGTACTGACCATGTCATCATGGATGGCTTTTGATGATAGCCCCTTCTTATGGAGGTACTTAATGACGGCACGCTGCTCGATTTGCTCCATTCGCGGAAATTATGTCCGATTACTTTGTTAATAAATTTATAAAATCACAACTAATTATCGCACACGTTTCGAACTTCACACAATGAACTAGTCTGAACTGAACTAAATAATGTGGGAAGATTTGATTTTTAGAATTGAATGGATCTGTGTTAGGCCGAGTACTTTTCAATCCACCCTCGTATCAAGTTATTAACAAATTCTATATTTATTAACCAAAATGACTCATATTCATAATATATGATTTTGTACCATAAATAAAATGAGAGGTGGCGTTGTGGTCGAGCTATTAATTCTTTTTTTATTTGTAAGCTGGTGCCTCTCATGTTTTCCAATTGTTGATCAAGGTCTGAGCAGTAATTTTTTGAGCTATCCTTAATAATTTATATTGAAGTTGGTAGTACAAAATTTGTTTAATTTTACCACTTGTGTTCCATGGCTTGTATAAGGCAGCTATGTTGTGGCAAGGGCCAGAAGACATCATAGCCTTTGAAAGATTGTGGTGTAACATATTGTATAATATGCTAGATATAAAATACTAAGCAAAAACACCCATGTGAGACATCTGGTATCTACTGAAATCACTTATCCTCCTGCCAGGACAATTGCAGCAAATTTTTTCTTTAAGGGGAGTGGCCCTTGTCCTGCAGGACTGTTATGGCTTAATAAAGAAGATATTTAATTTATTACTTGACTGATCATTGCATGGGTTGTAGTTAATGTACTTAAGTTTGATATGAGGAATATACCTAGTAAAGAGTAACATGTTAATTAAATTTAAAATAGTGGCATATGTAAACTCATGTTTCAAGCATGTAGCCTATACAAAAAATTTACAGAATGTATGTTTTCTGTAGGTGTGTGCGCGTGATACTTGCAGATTTTGAGTTTTAGTGCAGATTTTTTACTTGGAGCTAAAATATTTTCAGATATTTTTCTGACAACTTAATTTATTAAAAATTTATTTGATTCTATAACATGCTCTTATTTCCTAGGTGTGTAAATAATTTAAGTATTTTATTTTATTTTGCAGAGTAAATTTGACTTGTTTGTACCATATTTGAAGACATTTAACTCCGACTCTTTTGATTATGACTCTCTTGCAAAAGCTGATTATGTATTCATGAGATGGAAAGAACATTTTTTAGTGCCAGATCATACAATTAAGGACATAAATGGTGCTTCCTTTGCGGGTTTCTATTATATATGTTTTCACAAGTCTGCTGCCACAATAGAGGGTTATTACTACCATAGAAGTTCTGAGTGGTAAGAAATAATTTTTGTAATAAGTTATTATTGTAAAACTATTTGTACAACATATAAAATTACTATAGAACGATTTTGTATATTTATCATCATATATTATATTAAGTATTAAATAATTTACAGGTATCAATCTTTGACATTAAGCCATGTTCCAGAACACAGCATTCAAATTTATGAGTTCAGATGAAATCACAATATGGAATCATTTAAATTTGGATAGATACTTGTTTTTAATAGTACTTATATATTTTTAAGTGATAATTTCATAATATCATCGAAAATAAAAAAGTACCATTGTTAAGTTTGTGTCTAAACCAGAGAATTGCTTCATTAAAAGAGATTACATTCAGAACAAAGCAACTCAGTAATTATTGTCGATACTCATAATAAAAATGTATTTATACTGTTCTTGCATATACATTAACTTAAAACTTGTCTGTTGTTTCATTACAAGTGATATATTAAGATCACATTAATTAATGATTTTTTTGTTATATATTTTGTATTATACCAACATAACCTAAGTAGTTTTCATTGTGATATTTTGTACAAAATATTTACCTACTTGACTTGGTTGGTTTTAATTTCATAGCTTAGTAAAATATTGGTGACATTTATTTTGTAAATACAAATGTCAATTCCCAATATTGTTTTGTTGCTTTTTTAAATATTCTATTTATGGTGCAGTCAGTAGAGATAGATAATATTTTTTTAAATTCAACATTTTACTTGAAAGGTAAAGAAGTATATGCAGGGACAGATAATCTCAATAATATATTTGAACAAGATTATAAATAATTTCTAAGAATGAATAGTTCATACAGTATTCAGTAAATTCTGTTTTTTTTTTTCAATAAAATGTCTTAATAATATGGTTATGGACTTTCATTTAACAGTAAAATAAAAATACAATTTGTCATTTCATTTCAATCATTTTAATATAACATTGATATTTACATTAAAATACTGGCATTGATATATTTTTAATTATGTATCCATAAATATGCAGAAAAATTACATTTTAAAAATATATATTTTAGGGTAATTTTCAAGGATTTTATATGATTTAAACCTTATCTATTTGTACAGAACAGTTTTAGTTGCAATATTATCAATAAGTTTTAAAGTAGAAACATGAAAATGTTTAACTTTCAGGGACTATGTACTGCATACTGAGATAACTATATAGCCCCTGCTCAGTTATAAAAGCCTTTCTAAATTATGTAACTGACATTCAATTCAAGAAGTTATGAAAATATTGATATTAAAATATTTTTGTTATGCTAAAAATACTACTTTACTAACAAGTGACACACTGGTTTAAATATTTAATTTTAGAATTATTAGTGTTACACAGATATGTTTTATTAAAATATTTTATTCAAATGTTAATTTCATATGTATAAATGATAAGATAATAATTTAATTCAATACTACATGATTCTAACCAACAGCAAATAGTTCTGTATTCTTAAAATATATTGATACTGAAGTAATAGAAAAACATTTAACTAGATTCTAGAGATACATCTTATAAATATTAGTATAATAAAATTGTATTAGTGTTATGATACTAAATGCTTAAACTAAACTTTGGTGGGATCATTTTATGGGTACATAGTTTGGTTATTTGTGTAGGTATAAGAAATCAATATTATTTACTAAAAGATCACATAAATATTTTGGTGTTGCTTGTTGCACTTTTTTGTAATTTATTAAGAATAGATGAATTAAATATTGAAAAAATAACTGCGAATGTATGTTAAAAATTCTTATGTATGTATTATAATTGAAATTTATCTAATTTGGCAAGATAAGCAAATAAAATATTACATAGACTTGCAGATGTTGAACCCTATTGTAATCATTCAACAAACTGAAGGCAAAGAGTAACACTCGACAGTTGTTTTTGTGCTGCAGTTGATTTACTGGTGGGCTTTGATATATTGAAATATATTTTTGTTATTTTTAAATTCTATCTATACGAAACAAACACTTACCTATATCTACAATGAAAACGTAATGTATAAAATAGTATGCGTCCATCCACAGCTCTATCTACAGTAAGTACCTATGTAATAATTATTATAATTTTGATAGATATTCAGGGCAAGCCAGTGCCATTTATATTTGTACGATAATAAAAGACAACACAAGATTTGCATTAGGTACTTTAACAACAACCAATATGAAGCATAAATATACATCGATAAAATAAACATTAAATTAATAATCATTGATACAACAATTTACATAATACAAAACAACGATAATACTAACTGAACAATTTAAATTTTAGTAGCAAAATAAAACGCTTATTCAGAAAATGTATTTACAAGAACTTAAACAACTAACAAAATAATTAACTATGACTGTAATATTTGGCTTTGAAATAAATAGGCTAATATATTGAAAGCTATGGACGAAGGTGAAACAAGGTTTTCTAATGTTGACACAAAACTTAAGGAATATTCATTTTAAATACCAGTGTTTATTTAAGTATATTATTAAAACATTTTCCCATAGCTTCCATTATATATCGTCGGGTAACATCAATTTTATCTAAGATGTTAAGGAAAGCAAACTATCTCTTCGTTATGCCTTCGCTGCTAAACCAATGTCTTAAACCAAGTAAACTGTATAGATCTTGGTTGTTAGCATGAGATCTTACTGGACTAGCATTATGTCGGGTTACTCTGTGTGGGTATCGATAAAGACCAGAATAGCTTTCTTGCAGGCGTGGAGACAGTTGAGCGTAATCGGAGTAAGGGTAGCCGTGAGGTCGAAAATAATTGTGGGAGTATGTATGATGATGACGCCTTGGATTTCCATGCATTGCATACACTCCACCATTACGTTTTTGGCCCGGCCAGTAATCTTGTAAATGTTTAAATGGATAGTTAGGCTGTGGAGGACGTAAGTGCTGATTAGGCCATGAATATCTAAAGAAAAGGTTCTTTTTTGCATCATAAGTCGGCGGATTTTTGTTACTCGAGACTTTTTCGTGAGTTTGGGCAGTTTCAGCCACAACAGAGTCTGTTGGTCTCGGTTTGTTTCGACGGTATTGGAGTTTTGTACGTGTACCCAAAATACTGTCATCTTTTGACGAGCTGTTTTTATTTTTATTAAAATTGTCGTCGGTAGTAACCTCGGCATACCTGCTTATTAGTTTTATAGCTTCACCGATATCTGAATAATCATGTTCTGGATTTAACTTGGGATTGTCACTTTCTTTTTGTAATACCTGTGAGCCAATTTGTGGAGTGATATCAGCAACGTCAGAATTGTTCATGGTAATTGCATCGTTGGATATGTTGAGAGGATTTTTGTCCGTTAAGGAAGATATGTTCGAGTTTTTATTTTCATGCTCTGCCTGATAACTTTGCTGATTTTGAAAAGAAGTAATTACTGGATCAACGCTTACATGTCCAAATACCTCTTCTTTTTGGCCGACTTCTGTTGAATTTAACGATTCTATCTCACTCGAATGCATCATTGGGCTGTCACGTTTGGGCTTTTCAGGGTAACCTAGAGAATTTGTCAATGCGTTGTTATTCACAACATTAGTTTCTTTTGTTCCAATTGTATTGTTAGAGTCTTGCGATTGTTGGAGTTTTAATAGTTCTAATTCAGCTTCTATGCTTGCGTCATTGTTTTGTGTATTTTCTTTCTTGTCGATTTTCACATAATTGAGGTCCTGCCCCTGAAAAATAATATAATATATTTAAGTAAACCGTATCGTTGCAAAATGAATAATGATGTTATAATGACATATTTGTGTGTATCTCTCTGTCTCTCTCTCTCTCTCTCTCTCGGTCTCTCTCTCTATCTCTCGCTCTCTCTATCAATCACTCACTGCAGACCATCACAAAAGTCTACTGCTAAACACAGGCCTCCCCCATAGATTGCTACAAAGTATGGTGCTGAGCTACCTGTCCATCGACCACCCGCATGTTTCATCAGGCTTACTCTATCTATAGACGGGTCGCTCAGTACAGCTCATACAATACTCAAAACCTGGCCGGCCCATTGCCACTTCTGTTTACGGATCCGGAAAATATGTTCTTGAAATATATCTCTTTTAGAAGAGAGATATTTCAAGTATATGCCTTTCCATCGCACGCTGACTTCTTTTTCACATCTTCGACCAGCAGTGAGAAAGGACCACGTTTTGGTTCCGTAATGCATTACTGGCAACACGCACTGGTTTTTTTTTTAATAGAATAAGGGTGACAAACATGTCCACCTGATGGTAAGTGGATGCTATGGCCCATAAACATCTACATCTATATATCTATATAGCAGGTGCGTTGTTACCCCTGAAGACTAAGATGGAATACGTCCTTTTTTATTTAGAGTTGTACACTTTTGTAAGATTCTGAAGAATATCGGACAAGATTTGTCATAGTTTCCCAACCACAATCCAGTTGAGTGAATAATTTTGTCCCAGGTATACGTGTAAAATAGACGTTAGTAATGATTTTTGTATTCTCTATATTCATCTTAAGACCTAATCGTTGGGCAACATTACTGAGGTCGTTTGTCACAGTGCAGAAGTCCCAGGGATTCTGCCCTAATGACTATGGTCAGCAAATCGAAGGATAGTGATGTATTTGTCATTTAATACGTCTACAAGTGCGTAGTTACTACTTCGCAGTTAAATATAAAGACACAGTGGTGTTATTTGTCATGTAATTTGTGCAAACTTCTCTTTCTCCTATTCAGCCCGTAAAAGTCCACTGGACATGCGGCTCGCACGATGTAGGGAGAATCTGCCCTAATCGTGAGGCTTGGCAGTACCAGAAATCTTGCACGTTTGATGTTAATGTCCATCTCCTGCTCTGGTTATTTGGCGCCATCTATCGGAGGCCAGAACTTTCTGATATTTCCCACAATTGCATTTTACGACACCCACGGGACGAATGTGGGTGATGATTTCTCTTACGCCACTATTATATAGTGAATGAGAAGCGTAAAAATGATTTTTTTTTGCAGTTTGTGTTATTTGCTATCAGGTCCCATAAACTATAGTCGGTCGAAAATTCGAATTTTGAATTTCACGCGTACATTGTATTTATCGATTTCTTATAATAACACGAATAATAAACAGACAGACGTCGAACTGATTCCATGAGTGTTAAGTTTTTTGAGTACAGATTATAAAACAAATTGAGCGAAAAATAGATCTTTTAGAATAAAATAACGAGGCTCGAAATTAACCTTAAAAATAACACTTCAGAGTATTTACCTTTTCTGTCTGATCCTGGGATTGTAATGGAGCAGCTTGCGGATCATATCCAATAGGAATAGACAGTTGAAGTGGACCTGGCTCTTCGTCACCGTAGTCGTACTGCACATCGCTGCCACCAGGAGCAGATGTGAATAACGCATTTAGGTGTTCCAGTAAAATGCGCTCGTGTTCGTCTTTGTCAACAGTCACCACCTGCAATGTAAATGTTACTTTTATTGATTCATCGTCGATCTTAGGCTTGTTTTTTTATATGAGAGGGGCAAACGAGCAAGCGGCTCACCTGATGATAAGTGACTACCGCCGCCCATGAACAACGGCAACACCAGGGGTACCAGGGGAATTGTAGATGCGTTGCCGTCCTTTTAAAAAAAGAGTAGGCTCTTTTCTTGAAGTTCCCTAAGTCGTATCGGTTCGGAAAAATATTCGATTCCACAAGGAAGTTGTGTTAGGAATAAAACCTCTTGTAAATGGCACAGTAGTGGACCGTCAATCATCTAGATGGTATGGATGGTACATATCTCGAGCTCTATCGCGATGTGCGATGGTGAAATTGGACGATTGGAATTAGTCCGAACAATTCCTCTGAGCACTCCTAACGGAAGATACGGTAGAATACGGAAAGAGATGAGTGAGCCAGTGAGTCCAGCCGATCAGAAAGAGTTCGGTCACCGACATTTAGAATCGCTCTGCTGGATGCTGGATGTGATCAAATGAAAGGAGCTGGCACTGGGGAGCCCCGGCTCAGAGATGGAAACAGTATTCCATGTGCGGCCGAACCTGCGGCTTGTAAAGTTGTAGCCACGATATGCCGGTCATTACATATGTCGACGCCGAGGATTCTGATACTAGCTGAGGCAACAAGGGGAGTGCCCTGAGCGGTAAACGCGCAAGCTTGTGTTTTAAGATTTAGTCGCCCCCAATCCGATCCTTTATTCTATTTTTTTTATAGGATAGGGTGACAAACGAGCACACAGTCCACCTAATGGTGAGTGGTTGCTGTGGCCCATATACATCTACATTTATCCTCGTTTGCGAATCAAAATGCAGATGCGTTGTCATCCATGAGGCCTAAGATGGAATGCCTCTTCTCCAATACAAAGGGTCTCCGGTTCTCAACACTGACCATACGAAACACAGCAGTGTTAAGCTGCTATTTTACGCTGGTATTCTGTGAGAGCGTGGTCCTTCCCCGGTCAAGCAGACCCGTTCGTGCTACAACTATACTACTAATATAGCTGCAGCATGGCTCTACCACGTAAATTCTTCAACAAAGGCTTGACTTCAGACACATGTTTGTTCCGGTACTCGGCGACGTTTACCCGAGAAATATTGGCACGGCCGGTGTATAAAGCATCACCAGTGCTGTAGTCTGCATAGCAATTAATGTAGGGTAGATATGCCACGAGTGCCACATTTGACATGTAAGATGAGACGCTTCATATCTTAGTTAATAGTTTCCGTCAATACTCTGCAAGTTTTCGGTAAGATATCTTTAGTCAGGGTTACTTCAGCTTTCTATATACTTAAACAACTGTTTAGATAACCCCGTAACTTACATGATGAAAGCTATTACACTAAAATATAAATTTTACTCGAACGTAATGTTGTAATTTTTTTCTGTTGACTGTGGTTAGTCTTGGAAAGGTCAAGTTGGAAATAACGAAATTTAACCATTGACCCATAGTCAATGAAAGAAATATAATTTATATTTTAATTAACCACAGTATTCAACAGATTTAAAAAAAAGGACCCCACCCCAGAACTCTTTTCTAGGTGAACCGATTTTGATGATTATTTTTTTATTTGAACGCTGATGCTTCTCATATGGTCCCATATAAATGATCATGATCTGACCCAGTGGCGCAGCGTGCCTTAGATGGGCCTGTATCAAAATTTGTTGGGGGGCCCCAATGAAGAGCAAAGATTTCATAAAAGGAACAAAAACACTTGCATTGAATTAAAATAATTATATATTGATTTTAAGTTATTACTTACAATTAATACTCCTAGGAATTAAGCTACCCAAACAATCCAAATCAAATATACACTTTTCGTGCCTTCTGTTCGGCGAACATAGCTGAAGACGATTCGGCGGCATTCATAGCTGAAGGCGATTTCAGTTTTACTAAATTCTTTGCTGCTATAGATAATAGTGATAGCCTTTCCTGTCCCATAGAAGTCTTTGGAATTTTTGCTCACACACGTTCGGGGCCCCTGTAGCCCGGGGGCCCCGTAACATTGATACGGCTGATACGGCGGTAGCTACGCCCCTGATCTGACCAGTAGTTTTTGAGTTATACTTAATAGTTAATTATAGTATTTAATTGACTTCGACTACATTGATAATGTTCTCATTTCATTTATATTGCAGTCGGTTGTACAATTTTTTTTTAATTTTAACACTTGTAGATTATACCGTCACAAAAATAATTGCTACAAACTGGTATACTAGTAAAATTGGTTATAACTTTGGCCACCTGTAATACTTAGTTAAGCTTAATGAAAAATAAGCTTTAATTACCTGAACGCAGCCATTCCGATCCAGCCGCTGTCCTTTAGGGCACACGAGGGGTGTGATGAACAAAGATTTTGTGGTGATCCTTCGCGGTGGCGCATTTGGATTGCCACTTTCAGGGCTCTGGAGCCAAGATCGCCAGGCGAGTTCAGCGGCTTGACGGTCAAGAGTACGCGGCGGAGCTCGGGTGGTCGCTGCTGGCCCCGGGATTTCTGTTACCACTTGGACCTCAGGTTTGACCTCCCCTTGTACCTCCGCCTGAACCTCCGCCGCCTCGACCAGTGCACAGGACACCAGCAGCAACGCGGTCCACGTGTACCACATCGCAAACACCTGAAGAGAAAATAATTTGTTATAATATGAATGGCTTATTTTCATCATTGATAAACCAACGTTTGACCAAGATCCCACGTTGTGTTAAGTACAGTCTGTTCGCTAAGGATAGTGTTGGTACACCCGGAAGTGCACTTATTATTATTTTATTTTATTCTTTTTTAGTGTGTTTGTTAAATAAATGTTTTTCTATTCTAAGAATAAAATAGTATTAGAATAGAATTGAATAATTTTTTATTCAATATACATTACAAGTGTAATTCTTATTGAAAGCCATTTTTTATTTTACCACTGGTTCGAAAAAAACCCACTGTCCTGGGAAGAACCAGCAAGAAACCCAGCGGGACTTTTTTTTTAAAATAAATTTTACAATATAAATGATTACGAACTATTTACAAAATTTATTTTAGCAACTGCTTGGAAGCGACCACCTCATTCCCAGGGGTTATTATCAACCATGTATTCATTTATACTATAATAACCCTTTTTATACAGTTTCAGCTTAACAAAACATTTAAACTTGGTAGTAGAGAGAGCCTGTACACTTTCCGGGACCTTGTAATATATACCTATACCTACATTGCCCCAAGAATGAATTGCTGACTCTGTGGAGTCGAGAAACTGGCATCACTAGCTTGTGTTTGTTCCTAGTGTTTACAGAATGTACATCACTTTTTTCACTAAAACTACCTTTGTTTTTGTGAACATACATTAAGGCCTTAACAGTGGTTGAAATGTCTAAATCTTGGATATTTAAGTAAATAAATCTCAATAACTGTTCACTTAAACCACAAAGAAAAAATACGGGGTAACAGAAGAGGATTTAGTAAATGTTTTTAATTGAACAAAATTGTATTTTTGTCAACCCCTTATTAGAAAAAAAATCCCCAAATAGTACCTATCTTTGTCATATTTTGCAAAATTTCTCCAAAACGGCACAAGCTTTTTAAATAGTTCTTACACTAAAAAAAAGGTCTTAAAAATATTAATATTTTTAATTGAGAGTTTTATTTTTATTACCCGTTTTATAAGAGAATATATCATTTTTCCCTGAAATTGAAGATATTTACGCGAGCGCGCATGCTCCGTCGCCCTGTCAGTCCGTCACAGAGTACTTTTATATATACTGACAGTCCGTTTTCGGACATCGTCGAGGGTGGACCGCGCGTCGGTGTTGGAGCGACTTCGTTCAAATATATATTAGTTTTTTAAAAGTTTATACTCAATTATAAATATTTTTATGACTAGAAATACTTAATTTAGTAAATATCTGTACACTAGTAACTGTAAATATTATTTTCTAAATAAATTAATTTTTAAAGTGCCCAAAGAAGAAGAAATTTTTGCGGCGACGTTGATTACTGAAATTGAAAAATGCATTTTTATACATTGAGATATAATGTACTACGTACTAGAGAAGACGCCTCAACTCGATTGTTTGTAACACGAGTTAGAGTGCGCGCTCTCAAACTCACTTAGTCTGTGTCAAGCGGTTGTTGCAACGTGAGAAGTTAGAGTGAAGAATTATTTTTAAATTAATATGCCTTCGTGTGCATTGAGATACTGTTCAAACTACTCGAGAAATATAAGAAAAGTCAAGGAGTGAATTTTCACCAGTAATTTAAACTTATTATTATCTTTAAAACACGCTTAATTTAATTATATTTTATCAACTGCAACGTATACGTGAATGTCAAAGAGTAAAACATTTTTATGCGCAGACTTGACATTATCGACGTATAATGTTAAGTGATTATGAACAGTAAAATATTTATATATAATCACTGTAGGAAATGTTAATGCATTAAAATTAATGCTTTATATTATTATTTTTATTTAATGTTTTCCTCGGCTGTGTCATGAAACAAAATAATCATGGATCAAATTTGTTCAGAAGAATTGCAGCGAAGAAACGTCAGATTATTCACGCACATTTTCCGTGCAGTTCAAAAAAAATGACAAATACACCGCAAAAACAGGAAGAGTGTACTTCCAGAAATAAGCAGTACCATGCGACAATGTAATTATATAATTATATAACATTGCTGCGATTTTTGTTTTATTTTTTGATTAGACGACGAACGAATGTTTTGTAATGTTCAGTATATTTACAGGACTTAAGAGAGACGGAAACCTCGGTGCGCGAGTCATTCTAGTATATGACGGTTTTTTAATACTGTAACATTAGAATTTTTGCAGGCTTCCCAAATAACTAGTATCTTTTTTTCAGCCAACAAAATGTGGTGAACAGGAAGTATCAGAACCGTTGTCTGAATCAATAAGCAGTACAAATTCAATTTTAGATAGTCCGAGCAAAATTGTACTTAAAAATAAACTACGCAAGTGATGTCTCCTAAGCTAAGTTTGAGTGATGTATACGAAGCCTAAGCTTTTAAATATAGTTCTACTTTAATAACGGAATCAATAATTCTAGGTTATTATAAAAATAATAAAATATAAGCACGTTGTAATATTGCGTTTGTATTTAATAGCAAGGAATCTGCAGCTAGAAAGAAACTTACTGAGAAATTTATGACAAAATATTTATCTAAAGAAAAAATGTGCTTCTTACAAATCAATTGTAGAAAATTTGAAACATAAAGTCGGTCTCAACTTAAATGCTGAGATTGATTTAATGGGTAAAGCAGAAGTTATGGAGTAACATAAATCTTTAACGAAAAAGAATAAACAGAGCACGAATTATTAATTATACACTGCATGCACCTTTACGTAAATTCGCATTGATTTTACACTATTATTCACCAGCTGCGTATAAATACGTTAGAGAATGCTAGAAATGTAATAATAATGATCTTTGAAAATAAATGCATATTTTTATATTATACATATTTACCTTTTAAAGTATTAAATAAAATATAAATAAAAAGTAATTCTGACATAATATTATGTTACATTATATTAACACATTATGCAATATAAATAACAATTTAAAAAATTGTACTCGATACAATTTACAATACAATCTAAATAAACATTTACTTATTACATACTGATCATTCTACCTACGTATATAATCTATGATGACAAAAACCGCGCATGCGCGACTGTACTATTTACCGCGTATGCGCGAAGACATAGAGTAGTGCACAGTTTTTGTTCGGAATAGCTTCTCTAGTACGTAGTACATTATATCTCAATGTTTTTATATAATTTAGATGTGGAACGACGAACATGCTCTCGTTACTTAGATTTCGATAGTTTTTAATACCTATGTAATTTTATTGTTGCATATTTTTATTAATTAGTTGATACTCAATTTTATAATTATGTATTACAATAAAACGCTGTTTTTATGAGTATTACTTTATAAAATATTGTTGGGGAGGGAAATATACATACAGATACTTACATTTAGGTACACTGTTATCAAATTAAATCAAACAATTTAAATAAATAATAAAAATGGTGCTTCCCTAAGTATAAATAACTATATAAAGACATTCTTGGGTTAATTAATTTTTTTTTTATGTTAGACAAATTATCATCTAAAAATGTAAAAAATTTAAATTGGCGAGGGGTTTCTCTACGTCATAAAGTTAGAAATGAAGATATTCGCAGTAGAACCAGAGTAACTCACATAGCCCAACGGAATATTAAAGTGAAATGGCAATGGGCTGGCTATATAACTTGGAAAACCGATAAAAAATAGGAAGAAAGGTTCTCGAGTGGCAACCTCGTATAGGTAAGCGAAGTAGTACTCAATCTTTATTCCTCTTCACGTATTCTTATACGTTTTTCTTCACACATACACACACACATACACACACATACACACACACACACACACACTCACACGCACACGCACACACACACACACACACACACACACGCGCGCGCGCGCACACACACACACGCACACACACACACATACGCACGCGCGCACACACACACACACACACACATACATACATACACACACACACACACACACACACACACACACAAATAGGTAGAAAAGTAAAAAAATATTAGGCAAGAGTGAATAGGTTTTTGTTAAGTCAGTGCAATTCACCATCTTAGGCTACATAACCAGCGATGGGATTGTAGTTGCTTTACTACTTGCTGGGTAAAAATAGTTAAAAAAATTACCCTGTAAAAGTTTACATTTAGATATAATTTTTCTAACCAACCATAAAAATATGATGAAAATATGTATATAAGTATAAAGGTTGCCTCACACGGGACAGTAATAATATAATATTATATCTTCCATTATCTACGCATGAACACTTTTAAAATCTCTCAACTCCGAGATATGTGCATATTAAGAGGCTGAATAGAGCCACATTGATGTGCATGAGGATCGTTTTGTAATTTCACGTCATTATCGAAAAAAAATTGTACGTATTTCAGGTGGCGGTTTGTAAAACACGATTCCACAAAAATTCACTCAATAGAAAATAATTGCAAAGTTGCTTCTGAAAAACTTAAATTTTCAACGTCAATTTTTTCTTACGTGGTAGAGCCATGCTGCAGCTATATTAGTAGTAGGTATAGTTGTAGCACGAATGGGTCGGCTCAACCGGGGAAGGGCCACGCTCTCACAGAATACCATGTAAAATAGCAGTTTAACCTTCCTGTGTTTCGTATGGTGAGTGTAGAGAACCGGAGAACCTTTTTACTGGAAACGAGGCATTACATCTAAGTCCTCACGGGTGACAACGCATCTACATTTTGATACGTAATCGAGAATAGATGTAGATGTCTATGGGCCGTAGCAACCACTTACCATCAGGTGGACTGTGTGCTCGTTTGTCACCCTTATTCTTTAAAAAAAAACTTTTTGAGATTTTAGTAAAATAATGTTAAGTATTGTAAGCACTCGTACAATTATGTGTCTCATGTTAATAAAGCTATTGGGCTATTTTGATTTTTAATAAAGTGATTTTATTTTATAGCTTAAATAATTTATTTACCCTTCTATATCAAGAACCGTTTTTTTCTGTCACTCCTATTGAATTTGACAGTGCATGCTGAAA